TCACACGAAGTAGCTGTTGAATGCAGGGTGACGAGAGGACGTGGAGCGTGATCTGGCGCAAGAACCACGCGCCGACGTTCTGTCAGGCACGTCCTGAGCAGCCCCGCGGTGCTAGGGGCCACTGGAGCACTGAGGACACAGCTGTGAAGAAAGGAGGCCCTGCCCTCAGGGGCTGTCACTCTGGGGGGACACAGGCAGGGAGTACGACCAGCAAGAGATCCAGTCTGTTGGGAGCTGGCAGGGGTCCTGGAGGAGGGGCTGTGGCCATTTGCCTTCTCCAAACAGAGACCTGAGGCCAGCAGGGAGACGTTCAAGTAGGTGAGCAAGAGCGAAATGGAAAGGGATAGAGCAAGTGGAAGGCTCTGAGGCAGACGTCTTCTGGAAGGTTCCAGAACATCAAGGAGCCGTGTAGGAGTCAGGCTTTTACTGAGTTGGGAACCACAGGAGGGCGATGAGCAGAGGAGGAGCCACAGGCTCAGTTTCCCCAGCTGTCAGGGGCAAAGCTGTGTGTGGGTGTGGGGCGATCTGTCACTCTGGCTGCCAAGCACCTGACATCCCCGGACAGGCGGAAGGCAGGTGCCCCCCCGTGCTGTGGAGGTGGGGGAATCTCTCTGCGGGCTCCTGCTGGCCAGGGCTCAGGCCTGTGACCTAATCATGACCAGTGACAGGTGTCGGGGGGGAGGTACATGGGGTAGGGGTGGGGGAGACAGCTGGAAAGTGACCAAGAGAAAGACAGAGACGGAGGAAGAACCTCAGATCCCGGCCGCCTGCAGTCTCACATCCATCCAGGGGGGCAGCTGCCGGGGTCCATTCCGGCCAGCAGGGGTGGGCGGCTTCTGAGACCCCTTCCCGGTTCTCCGGCCTCTCCTGCGCCACCATCCCTCACTCCAGCAGGCCCTCCTTGGGTGGTGGTGGGGTCTCAGGGCCCCCTCATTCATGCCCATGACTCCAGGGACCCCCGCATCCACTCCTACCCAGACCCCGAGACCCTTTGGCGGCCTCTAACATCATCACACATCATAGTATCCGCATTTGACCTCAGTGTCTCCCTCATTCCCACCTGTCACAACCCCTGTGCACCTTCCGTGTCCCCAGCTTGGGGACCCTCACCCACACTCTACCCAGGGTGGTGTCCCCCATCTCAGCATCCCTGTATTTTTTTTTTTTTTTGAGGAAGATTAGCCCTGAGCTAACATCTGCTGCCAATCCTCCTCTTTTTGCTGAGGAAGACTGGCCCTGAGCTAACATCCGTCCCCATCTTCCTCTACTTTATATGTGGGACGCCTGCCACAGCATGGCTTACCAAGTGGTGCCATGTCTGCACCCGGGATCCGAACCGGTGAACCCTGGGCTGCCAAAGCAGAAAGTGAGAACTTAACCACTGCGCCACCCGGATGGCCCAGAGCATCCCTGGATTTTAATGACCTGTTTCTATGGGCATCTCTTGGTCAAACTCCCTTTTGGAAGTTAGACATTGTTTTTTTGTTTAGCTAACTGCCCTTAGCCTCAGACCCTGACTCCTCTATGTGTCCCTATTGACTCCCTCAAAAGCACTGACTCACTGAGCTCTCACCCCAAGGGCCTCCCTCCCCTCACGGCCCTCTGTCCCCCACCCCACCTCCACCACGTCCAACTGGTTATGGTTTTAGTTCTTGTTGTGGGTAAACTTTGATTTTCCTGTTGCTGACTTTTTTTGTTATGACAGTAAACTTTACCCAGATATTGATCCCTGTAACTTCCCGCATCCCTCGCAGCATCTCCTGACTCGGTTTCCATTCTCATTTAACACCTTTCTCCAATACCCACTTGGAAAAAGATCAAATGAGACTGGTCCCTCACACCACGGACGAGAATAAACACCAAAGAGGCCCGTGATCTGGAAGTCAGGCATCAAACCCTCCCAGCCCCCGAAGACACCGGAGGGCGCTCCCCTGAAACGCGCACAGGGGAAGGCGCTCTTAACTCTGACACACACCAGAGGCGGCGGCTGTCACAAACAGAAACATCTGCATGGCAGAAACACCACCAGCAAAGTCTGAGGATAAAAGACAGACTGGAATATGGTACGCTGCGTGTTAGGTATTTTTACCACAATTATTTTTAAAAAAAAAGACAGACTGGGAGAGAATTATTTTCCACATTTATCACAAATACGGGGCTGTTAGCACCTCACTCACGTGCTGCTCCAGCTGGTCCACACCCAGTCTAATCACCGAGAATCACACCAACCCCAAGCACTCTACTCAGAGGGGATGGGACAGGAATGTATTCTCCACAGGGTCAGCGTCATAAAGACACAGAGGCCGAGGAAATGCTCCAGATCACAGGAGACCAAAGAGACAGGACACCGAAATGAGACGGAGCGCGTCACTGGGACCACTGGCACAGCCAGACGCAGGCGGCAGATTGAAATACAAGCGTGAGAGCCACGGGAAGCTTACACGGGGATGAGGGGTCACGACATGTGCTCTGCAACTTACTCTCAGACGGCCAGGAAACAAGTGTGTGTGTGTATACATGTGCATGTGTGCACACACACAGGCCAGGAAACAAGTGTGTGTATACATGTACACGTGTGTGCACACACAGGCCAGGAAACAAGTGTGTGTGTGTATATACATATACACGTGTGTGTTCACAGACACACACACCCCCTCCTCCCATGCAGGCAAATGGAACAAAATGTTTCATAATAGGTGAATCTGGGCAAAGGGTATCTGGGTGTTCTTTGTACCTTTCTTGCAACTTTTTGTTGCTTTAAAGTTGTTCCCAAATAAAAAGTTAAAAAAAACCCCGTCAGTATTTGCTGAGGAACGCCAGCAGTGTGCAATCTGGACTGAGTCATCCTCAACACAGAAAGCCAAACAGCTGACAAACTAAATGCCAGCTATGGGCCTCTTTCAATAGGAAAAATTGCATCTCTGGGCTTAAAGTTAATTCCACGCATCTTGGGATCAACTGATAAATTTACTTTTGACTACAAATTTAAAGAAATTGACAAAAAGCTTCCTCTGAAAGGGTGGCCCGTATGGGTCTTAAAGGCCCTCTGTGGCGGGCAGTCTCCTGGAGGACCGCTGCTAGTGTCTCCGTCAAGGGGACGTGGGATGGACATCCCCACCCACTTGAATCTGGCCGGCCTTAGTGACGAGCTCGATGGACACCATGTGGGGAAGTGATCCACTGGGACTTCCGAGCCCAGGGCATGGGGTGCTGCGGCTTCCCCCTGGGCATCCGGGGCGCTCCCTCGTGGGCCCAGATGCCATGCTGTGAGAAGCCCAAGCCACATGGAGGCCCTGTGTGGGCACCCCAGTGATGGTTCCCAGCCAGCAACCTGCACCGACAGCCATGCGTGGGAGTGAGCCTCCTGGACAGCCAGCCAGGCCAGGCTTCAGACGACTCCTGCCCCAGATGCCACCTGACCACACACGCATAAGACTCAAGTGTGAACGGCACAGCCATGCCCCGCCAACCCACGGAACAGACAGATTTCAAACGGCTAAAGCCGGTGACTTCTAGGGCTGTCTGCTACGCAGTAAAGGACCCGCCTGGCCCCTCTGAGCCCTGGGGACATCTTTCCTGGGGAGGGCCTTTGTTTACCAGGGGCCTTGGGCCACTCCAGGCAGTCTATACTGACACGTGATTTGTGTTGGGGACCCTGGGCCACACGGCACGGGCCAGTCTCTTTGGGGACTAAGGTCAGCCAGGTGGGCTGAGCAGTCAACAGGAGCAACCCCAGTTAAGACCCTGGACACCAAGGCTCGGGAGAGCTTCCCTGGTAGGCGACACTCTGTGTGCTGTCACCTGACGCCGCAGGGAGAAATCAGCGCCGTCGGTGTGACTCCACTGGGAGAGACAACTGGAAGCTGGCGCCCGGTCTCCTGGCCCTCCCTATGTGCCTCTTCTCTTCCCTGACTTTAGTCTGTCCTTTACTGTAAGAAACCATAACCGTGAGTCTAACAGCTTTTCTGAGTTCTGTGGGTCCCTCTAGCAAATTACTGAACCTGAGGGCGTGCTTGGGGCTCCTGAACTGTTGCAGCAGGACGCCCCCAGGCTGCCTGGGGACGCTGCCGCTCCTGCCTGGGGAACCCCGCCCGCAGGTCTGAAGACCTCAGAACACTTCTTTCTCAGGGGAAATAAACGGAATCGGCAACCTGGGCTTCCCGCCTGTTTTCCTAGGACCCTCGAGCCGCCAGCGCACATCCCACAGCTCACTTCCTGCAATGCCAACTGGCTTCAGAGAAAGGGACCCACCCAAGGAGCTCTCTGAACGCCCACAAAACATGAGGACCGTGATGGCCTGGCTTCTGCCCCCTCACTTCAACGAAGGGGGTCAGAGCACTCAATGGACTCCACCCTCCATGCGGCATCATCCGCCCACAGACAACACCCCAGGGCTGCTCTCCCGGAAAAGGTGGGTCCAGAAGAGCTCAGACATGCAAACAGGCCCGTCGCCAGAAGCCGAGGCCCGAGAGCGGCCTGCGTGGGATCCGACATTCCCCTCTGACGGAGAACCACGGGGAGTGGGGGGACGCCTCTGCTCTTCCTGGGAGGGTGGAAGTGTCTGCTTCGCGTGTGGCGCAAGGACCAAGGCCCGGCCTGCCCGACGGGTCTGCCCGGTAGACGTGCGCGGCCGAGGGGAGGTCGCGCGGAGCCGCCGCAGCAAGCACTTGCTGAGGGGGATGGGCAGAGGAAAGGAGGACCTTCTTCCAGCTTCCGCGCCCACGCAGCCTCGCTGGGCCCACGCTCGGCCCCGTGTGCCCCGCAGCCTGCTGACCAGGGTCCTCCGTCCTGGGCGGCAGGGGATCCCCGCTCCAGAGCCCATGGTGATGGGCAGATGCACGGCTGCTTGTGCACAGCTGGTAGCCCCCCGCCCGGCCCGGCTCCAGGGCGCCCCAGGGAGATGGCAGACGAGGGAGTGGGGCTTTGTGGCCCCCCACCCTTCCCGTTCTCCTGATGAACGGGTCACCCCAATCCCAGCAGCGCCACAACCTGAGACAAGCTGACTTACAATAATGACTTTATTTTAACATTTAATTACAGACATAAAATAGCTGGGGAAGGGGGTGAGCCCCAGCCTAGCCCCGCTCCGGGGCTCCCAGGAGGGGGTGCAGGCGAGGCCTCCCTGATGACCCTCCTTCGGGGTCTTCCTATGGCGGGGCCCTATTGCTTTAGCGGGGGAGGGGCCATGCAAACGAGGGGGGCGGAGAAGCCCTGGCCCCGCCCCTCCCCGCCGCCTCCCCCAGAATGCCCAGGCGGTGCCCCAGCCCTGCCTCTCCACCTCCTTCCTCTTTGTCCAGGGAGCAGACCCTCTGGCCAGCCCCCCACCCCCTCTGCAAACCTAAAGGGGAATAAATACAAACTTTACAAAGTAAAAGGGGTCCAGCGTGGCCCTGGGCTGGGCCTCACATCATCCCCAGCTGCAGCAGCGTGCTGGCGTAGGCCATAGGCTTGACGTCGGGATGAGGCTGCAAGCGGAGGCCACCGGGGTGGGCGGAGACAGAAAGGGGCAGCCTCAGGGGGAGTCTCTGAGCAGACGCACCAGCCCTATCCCCCCAGAGCTGTCCTGCGCCCGCCCCCCGCCCTCCTGACAGCCCTCTCAGCTCCTCCACCCCAGGCCCAGGCCAGGGAGAGCGGGGGACCCCCGGGGCTGACTCACCACTGCTGTGAACTGGTGGAACTGGGGCCGCAGGTCGGAGCCCCGGAGGTGGATGTAGGAGGCTTTATTCCCCATCTGGTCGCTGTGGGGACAGGGGACAGGGGCAAAGTAGCCAGTGAGGGGCCCGGTGGGGCTGGGGGATGAAGAAGGAAGGGGCGGGCAGAGAGGAGAGAGGGAGGGAGCGAGCAGGGAGAGGGAGAGCGAGCGAGAAGAGACTGAGGCTGGATGGCAGACAGGCCGAGAGAGGAGACAGACAGAGGGACAGAGCCCATGGGAGACACGGCAGAAAGAGAGACAGGGATGTGGAGGGATGGAGAGTCAAGGACACAGAGGGACAGACAGAGACAGGAGGGGGAAAGAGGCCAGCAGGGGAACAGACAGGAGTCCAGACAAAAGGGGCCTGAGCAGGGGGGCTGAGGGGAAGGAGAGCGTGGAGGCGGGACAGGGCGGGGGAGCAGGAGGCAGGCAGCCGGGCCAGGAGGGCCTTCCTAATAGGACACGCGGCCCGACGGAGGCAGGACTCTTGCCAAGACCTGGACTCCAACCGGACCAGACCCTGGTTCTAACCACCAGGAAACATGAGGGATGAAGAAAGTGGTGACTGGCCTCTGAGGACGGAATTGGCCAGGTCTGGGGCACAGACAACTCGGCAGGACACGGGCCTCGTTTCTTCAAGCAAAAAATGCCCAGAGGGGTGGGAAAGGGACCGGGAGATCGAAGGTAAGGAGACTGAAAACGCGGCCCTCGTGTGGGTCCAGAAATCACTGGAGAGACGTTTATGAGACATGGGGAAACGGAACTCCGGCTGGGTCCGGTGACCTCGCCCGAAGGTGTGACAGTGGTACCATGCTTATATACAGGAAAGAAGAGTGCTTCCTTTCAGAAACACCCGGGGCTATCAACGGACGGAGGAGATGCCACCTGGGGTTTGTGGGACGGGGGTGGTCACAGCTACGGAGCCGGTAGCCACTGGGTCTGGGTGACGGATATGTGGGCGTTCATTATACTCTTTTATGGACTCTTCTGTATCTTTGGAATTTTCTACCATAAAAAGTTAAAAAAGTGGGCTGGGAAGAGGCGTGGGTGGGGTGGGGTGGGGGGCGCACCAGTAGTTGGGGGCAGAGAAGACGGTGACACAGCGGCCGCCGTGCGCCACCTCGTAGCCCTCGGCCTTGACCTCGTGGCTGCGGATGATGTAGTCCAGGTGGTTCTCCTCCAGGAAGGCCTTGGTGACGTCGGGCCCAAACTGGCAGCTCACACCCCGCTTGCTGACCGAGCGCCCGTTCTGGGGAGACAGGGGGCTCAGAACGACGTCCACTCCCACCCACCCGCTCTGCCCACGGCCCACAGCCCACAGCCGCCACCATGGCCCCAGGGAGACTGACCTGCGGCTGTGGGTCCGACCAGAGCAGGTCACACATGGGACCTGGAGGGGAGCAGAGGGGAACGTCAGGGACTGGCCTGCCTGCCGGGGGTGGGTGCTCACAGGCCACCCCCTGCCCAATGCACAGAGCAGCTGGGTAGGGGCTGGGCAGGGGACATCCACAGTGGAGGGGGCATGGGACACATGGGCCAGGACTGAGCTGGCCACAGGCCTCTCCTCTGGATAGCGCCCCAGCCTCCCAATGCCTCCCCTCCAGAACCCCCTCAATCCATTATGGCCCCGAGGGGCCTGGCGAGGGAGCTGTCAACATCACAATTCAGATCGCGCCCCTCCTGCTCATAGCCTTTCCGGCTCCTCCGCCCCGGGAACCACGACCCAGCTCCTCCCTGGACCTGTGAGGAGCACAGGGTCTGCCTCGTCAAGCCCTTTAAAGCACTCCCCTGCTCACCCCAAAGCCACCGGCCTCCCGGATGCTCCCCCAGCGCTTGTCCCAGACACCCTTCTGTGAGGCAGGTGCCACCTCCTTCCGTGTCAGCTCTCACGTGACCCCGCAGAGGCCCTCCTGACCCCAGTCACCTGAATCCGGGGGCTGCCGGTTCCGCTCGATCTTCCTGATGTCGTCCAGGGTGACACCGTCTTCGCTGAACAAGCCCCCGTGCATGATCTGGGGTTCAGGGTGGGGACAGCCGTGAGAGGGGAGGCGCCGGCCAGACCCCATCCTCCCACCCACTTCCCCAGCACGTCTGCCCACATGTGGCCCCCACAGGCAGCAGGCGGGGGAGGGAGCCCGTGGGTCCCGGTACGTCCTCACCAGCACTTTGCCATTGATGCACTGGGCCAGCGGCAGCCACTCGAACACCTCGCTGAAGAGCTCGTACATCTGGGCCGTGTACTTGGCCCTCACCTCGCCCTCGAAGCCGTAGATCTGGTTCATGTTGTCCGTCTCGTGGTTGCCTGGCCGACAGCAGGAACGAAGAAACCTTAAAAGCCCCGCCCGGGTGCCCTCAGGCCCGGGGCCCAGGGAGGCCTGCCTGGCAGCCCGAAGCCAACAACACTCACATCAGCTCATCGGCCCCTCACAGAGCCCTGACAAGGTGCAGACACTGTTTTCCATCTGTTCTCAGGGGGAGAGACAAACTGAGTGGCACACGTGGGCACATGGCCACCAGGCCCAGGCCGTACAAAGCGCCACGGGAGTGGCTGAGGCCTGGGTTCAGCTCTGGCTTGGCCTCAAGGGACCTCGGGCACATCTCTCGCCCCAGTGGGTCTCATGCCCCCTCTGGGAGGACCTGCCTGCCTTCCAGGCTGGAAGTACCAGGAGAGAGATGTCTTGACCCAACATGCGCCACCGCAGAGCCCCTGCTGCGTGCCGGCCCCACACTGCGCCTGCACCTTCCCACACACTCCTCACTCCCTCGTCTCAGGGCTCCCGGGGCCTGGGGGAGACAGGAGGCTGCCGGGCCGTTTGCTGAGTCCCATGGTCTGACTCTCTGGCTGGGGTGAGCTCTTCACGGCCTCCTATGAGGCCCACAGCAGGTGCTCCAAGCATCTACCAGGTGCCAGTACAGCGGCCTGGACTCCCTGAACGCGGCAGTCAGCCCGCAGGCCCCCGGGAGCCCCCACCCAGCCAGCGCCCTCGCCCCTCCTCCTGGGTCTCCCCCCTCCCAGCTGCAGCTCCCGCTCATCTCCCCAGCGGCCCTCACTCCCTCGTGAGCTCCTCCTCCCAGTACCATGCGTATGCCGAGGACCCCAAAACTGACAGCCCCCAGGCTCCTCATCCCCTGGCCACACCCGCTTGTCCCACCTCCCACCTGTCAGTGGCAGCCGCAGCCCTCCAGCTGCTCCAGCCAAAAACCCTGGGGTATGCCCTTTGACCCCTTCTTTCTCTCATGCCTGCAGCCAGCCCACGGGTAAACACTCTGGGTTGTACCATGAAGAGAGCCCTAATCCAGCCACTGCTCCCATCCACATCCAGCTGCCACCACCAGTCTCTGTGCTCCCATCCTCAGCCCTTCATCAGTTCCCCATAGAGAGGCCTAAGGGATCCTGGTAACACCTGAGTCAGCCCCACCCTCCTCTGCTCAGAGCCCTGGCGTGACCAAAGTATTCATGAGGGCCCAGAGAGCGCCATTTGTGTGAGCCACTGTGCAGTGCACAACCTGCCTGACTGTACAGGGCAACCCTGTGCATGGTCTCAGTGAAGGGACAAGATAAACACGGCTGCCACTAGCATCCCTGCCTTACAGAGAACTGGCAGGCTCACAGAGGAGAAAGCGAGTGCCCCGCCCTGACCCCAGACCCTGCTGCCTCCCAGCTCACCTCGGAGTAGGTGGAAGTGATCTGGATACAGAAGCTTAAAGCCGAAAAGGGTGAGGATCACTTCTACGGAGAAGGAGCCGCGGTCCACGAAGTCGCCATTAAATATCTGCCCTGCTAAGGAAAACAAGCGGCTGGCTCCCTCCCCGGGCCCTCCACGCCTGCGGCTGCTGTCCGCACCTCCCCAGGAGCAGGCACATCGCCAGGGCGCAGGGGGTCCGAGCTTTTGTCTCTTTCCTCGCTGTGTGGCTCTGGTCCAGCAGCCTGGCCTCTCTGAGCCTCCGAGCAGGATGCTACTGAGGTCCTCAAGCTCGCGTGTCTCTCAGGGAAACTCATGGTGGAGCGGCGACACCAGGTGGTCAGGCTGCTTCAGCTTCTCCCAAATAGAGGCCCAAAGCCACAGGGGAAATGGGACACGGACCCTCCCCCCAAACCCTGCACAGGCCTGGTGGCCCCACACAGGGGCCATTTATCAAGCGATTATCAGAAGAACGTCAGCAGATACTTGCAATGTGGCCACGGGGGCCGCCCAGCCCTTCACGAGGATTTACTCCTCTCAGTAACCTCCTGAGGAAGGCCCTATTCTTATCCCCATTTTGCAAACGAGGGATCCGAGGCACCGAGGGGGAAGGAACCTGCTGTGGCCACGCAGCCAGGACGCGGCAAAGCCGAGAGGGCACCAGGTGTGCGCAGCCCCGGGTGCTGTTTGTATGTGATCCTGCAGCAGCCCCATCTCAAGAGGCAGACAAGCCAGGGCCCAGAGAGTCTGAGTCACTTGCCCAGGTAACGCAGCATGTGGGGACTGGCCCTAGCCTGTCTGAGCCCACCCTGGAGCGCAAGGCCAGCCCGCGGCCTGGGCCCGGGTGGCTGCTCAGCTTCTCCCTGCACAGGCCGCCGCCTTCCCCTCTGGCAGAGGACCCGCAGACCCAGGGCAGGGCGGGCCGGGCATCTCCCGAGGAAGGATACGTAGGGGTTGGCCTCCGAGGGTAAACCGTTGAGCTCGAATATGTTGAGGAGGTCGTAGAACTGGCCGTGGGTGTCCCCGCACACTGTAATCTTCTCTGTCTGAAAGAAAAGAGGCCACCGGAGAGGGAGGGGCCGAGAGAGAGACGTGGGGAGGGGACAGCGGGGAGGGCAGGGGCAAGAGGCCACACGGCAGACCGAGGGGGACCATGCAGAAGACACAGGCAGGGGACACGAGATGGAGAGAGTGGGACAGAGACCGAGAGGCCAGAGAGAAGGACATCCAGGGGGAGACACAGGTGGGCAGAGGGAAGGCAGACCAAGCCAGGTGGGTCTGTGAGTTTCTGAGCTCCGTGGCCCCCCGGCCAGGAGCCCCCCGCCCCGGCCCCCACCGCCCCAGAGCGCGCACCTCTTTGAGCGTGGTCTCCACCAGCGTGCTCAGCTTGGACAGGACCTCTTTGACCTGCACCAGAATCTGCAGGGGAGCACAGGGCAGGCCGTGAGCGGGCCGGCTGGAGGGCCTGCTGCCCACCCTGCCCCGACCAGGAGACGCTGCTGGGCCGAGGGTGCGGGACAGGCAGGGAGAGGGGAGGAAGGGGCGGGGCGCCCGGACAGGTGGGTGCTGGCCGGGGCCAGGGGTGGTCCCCAAACTGTGACCCAAGTGGCCTCTGTGGCATTTAAGCATCAGGATTATTTCATGTGAAAATCGAGAATCTCGGTTTCTTTGAAAATAATCAGCATGATGAAGAAACCTGCGGATGAATCCCGCTGTGGAACGTTTTATAAAACAACAGGCCTGGACACGTCTGAGTGTCAGTGTCGTGAAAGAGTCTCCCCCGGAAGGCGTGAGACTGTTCTGGATGGGAAGAGAGAAAAAGGCAGGTCACACGCAATATTTGAGCCTTCAGTGGATTCTGGATTTCAAAAAAGAGCTCAAAAGGATGTTTTGGGGGAAATTAAAATATTCGTCTGGAAACGTAGGTAATATTAATTTTTACTAATTGAAGATTAAAGACGACCTTGACAACATCACATACATCTGACAACGTTTCCAGATTTTGTGGACAGCCTGCGGACTGCATGCATTTGTCGGTGTTCCTGTATGAAGCTACATTTCTATGGTGCAACGACTGAATCAGTCACGCAGGAGAATGGCCCTCTTATTATCTGCATTTTGCAAATGAGGACCCCGAGGCACCGAGAGGTGAGGTCATGAGCCACGGTCATGGAGCCGGGAAGTGGCAAGGCCAGGAGGGCACCCGGGTGTGGGCAGCGCCGGCTGCCGTATGTCTGTGACTGCACAGCCCCATCTCCCCACGAAGAGATCCAGGATCCAGGGTTAGGACACAGAGGTTATGATGCAACCCAGTCTCAAATGGTTCAGGAAAAAAGAAAAAGAACGTAAACATACACGCATATATGCAGAAAGACCGATAAAGTAAATGTGTCAAAATTTCAACCACTGGGGCATCTGGGGGAAGAATGTGTGGATGTTAACTGTACTCTTCTTTTGACTATTCTGAGGGTTTGACAATTTTCAAAATGAACAGTTGGGGAAAAAAAGGTGTTAAGATAGTAGAAGCTGTCCACTTCTGGTCAGAATGCAGAAAGACAAGTCTGATGCTGTCGCCCTAGTGATGAAAACAGGCCAAAAGCCCAACAAATTGAACTAAAAAACCCATCTGAGAGCCGAGGAGGAAAAACACCGCAATCAACCAAACTGTCGCCCGCGCCAGGCCCCTCCCTGGTGAAGAGACCGTGCCTGCGTTCATCCCGGCCTGAGGCCCGCCACTGAAGGGGAGGGGAAGCCAGCGGGACGTCCCTGCTGGGCGGCCTGACGGATGAGAGTCCCCAGGAGCCCGCGCCACAGAACGCCTCCGCCCGCACCTGCCGCACCTGCCAACGCTCTCACTCCATCACAGGCTGGGCGCAAGGCGGCACAGGGGAGGGAGCCCTCCCGAGGCACAAAGGTGGGAGCAAGACTGGAGAGCAGAGAGCTCGCCAGCAACCCAAAAGTCCGGCAGCAGGGTGGAAAATCAGAGCACCAAAATCACAGTTCCAAAAGCTGGAGACTTGACAACACACAGACATCCCTGGGATGCCGCCAGGGTGCCGACCCCACGCCCTGCTGAAGGGGGCATCCCGATGCCCCTCTGAAAACACTGGAGACCAGGGGTGACCTAAGGCCCACAAAAACGGCCTGAACCGTAGATTAGGCTGACGGAGCCCTCACAGCAGCAGCCTGACAGCAGGCTCCCGCTACCTCCTGCAGAAAGTTGTTTATCTCCGTCTCTACTGTCCTTTCACACAAAATGCCTGGCATATGATAAAAACTGAGACCCACGAAGAACGGACAACAGAGGGAGATCCAGGCATGACCCACACGGTGGCACTACAGAGACTTTAAAATAACGACAAACACGTTCAAAGATCCCCTGGGGAAGATAGACAGCATGCCTGAACATATGGGGCAGAGATGATAGCTATTTAAAAAAATAACCATGGAAATGCCAGAAATAAAAACATGCAACCTCAGAAATAAAGAACGCATCTGCACGATGCCCGGCCCCAGCGCGCAGCAAGTGCTGGCTTCTGCCTCCACCCTGCCCTCTGTGGCTATCTGGGCACTGCCAGCGCGACGCTATCCCGGGTCACAGGCGTGTCACCTGGTAGGCACATTTCCGGTGCAGCTTCTTCTGGTCCTTGTACCACTGCATGAGCTCCTTCATGAAGGCGACTGTCACTCTGCCGTCCTCCAGCTTGGGCCCGCTGTACTCATCCTCGATGGCTGGTGTGTGAATGGGGGCGAGAGTCAGTGGCCACAGCCAGTGTGAGGGTGGGGAGGGGCCTGGCCCGGGGCAGACGCGGCTCTGGACACGGGTCAGGACAGGGATGGAGCGAGAGAAGATCCACCCCCACGGCCTGCTCCGCGCGCTCAGGCCGGCTCCGAGGCCCTCTCCCTGCCCCCCCATCTCATGGGTCCGCTCTTCAGCACCCTCCCTCCCCTCCGCCGACTTGGTTTACAGCCCTTCACACTGTCAACGCATCTGGTGACTAGCGAGTCCTCTCTCCCCAGAGCGTCAGCGCCACGAGGGCAGGGACTGTTGTGGTCACGGCTGGCTCCCGGTGCCTAGCACAGTGTCTGTCACACAGTAGGTGCTCAGGAACCATGTGAGCACATAGAGGACAGAGGCGGGTCAGACGCAGGAGGCCTGGGACGGGGGCACGGCCCGGGAGCCGGTAGGGAGCCAGGCTGGGGCGGAGGGCTCGCCCCCTCCCAGAACCGGGGGACTCAAGCAGACGGTGGCCTGGGGCGGGGCAGAGACCACCTCTGAGCCCCACTCCTCACCCCCAGTGTGCACGGGGATGGAGAGGACCCCTGCAAGCATCTGGAATGTTCTGGCTGGGCGTGAGGGCACCCGGGCCTGACTCACTCATGCTCTCGATGTCCAGTGAGTCCACGACAGAGCGCTTGTGCTCATCGCCCGCGATGGCCCGCTCGAAGGCCTTCTGCTTCACAATCTTGTTGCACTCCTGGTACTTCATTTTGGCGTCCTTGTCGTGGGGCTTCACTTTCACCACCTGGGCGGGCGGCGGGCAGAGGGAAGGAGGCATCCCCACTCAGGCCAAGAGGTGGCACGGCCCTCCTGGGGCAGAGGAGCAGGCCGGAGGCGGGACGCCGAGGCTGCCCTCCGCCTGCCGGGCCCTGGGTTCCACGAACGCTGGAGCCAGACCCCCGGGGTGCCATGCACTAGTGGCACACCCCCGCTGGGCATGTTCCACCTCCAGGCCTTGGTTTCTGTGTCCCCAAACTGTGCATAACAGAGCTGCGTGTGTACCTGTACTATTATAGTTGATACCAAGGTGGGGGGTGGCGAGGAAAGGGTGGGCTGGGTCTAAAATCATGATTAACAGCCCAGACTCATCAGAAGGGCCAGCTACTTGCTGGGTGATAGACTCCCTGAGCCTCGGTTCCCTCCTCTATAAAACGGGGAGGTGACAGCTCCCCCCGGGCTGTGGGGAAGGATAAGTGATGGACACGGGGCCTGGGGTGAGGCACGGCTTGGCAGGCGCGGCCAGCACTGAGGGGCGTCACGTCCCGTGTTTGACCTCAGGCGTTTGGAGAGACCCAGGACAAGTGATTTCCCCTTTCCTCCTCCGAAGGGAGGTGGGGACTGCGGGCACAGACCCAGGCCGGTGGGTTCGAAGCCCAGCTCCGCCCGCACCAGATGAGTAACGCTGGGCAGGTGAGTTTGCCCCTGTAAGACGGAAGGGACGAGCAGCCACTCAGACCACAGTGAGGGTGTCGGGGTGACCCCTTGTAAAGTGCAGGCAGCGGCGCTGGCAAGAACAAACGCCACACGAGCCTCGGCTGCTCCTCACAGCCCATCACGGGCTGCTGTGCTGATAAAGGCACGTGGCTTTGGGACCCAGCAAGCTCTCAGCACAGGAGCCCGTCTCCTCCCCTCTGCACCTTCCATGCACTTCCCACAAACTCTGATCCTCCAAGTTCAGAAGCAGACAGCGATGCATTCGGAGTCCCGCACTGCCACTTACGGGCTGTGTGACCCTGGGCAGGGACTTCAGCACTCTGGCCTCAGTCATCTATAACTGTGACTGTAATTGCTAGTGGACCCTGCTGGCCTCCCCAGGAGTGGGCCCCCAGAGCTCCTGTGCCAGGGGGCAGAAAGAGGGGTGCCAGGGCTGGCCCTCAGGGGTGAGCACGCCCCCTCGTGGGAGAGCCTGGCAGAGTGAGTCAGAAACTCATCTGCTAACCCTTGCGGGCCAGGGTGGCTCTTCCGCCCTGGGACGCGCAGACCAGGCGGGCGGCAGGAGGCTGGGTCTCGGCAAGTGATGGCCAGGGCACCCTGCCAGGTGGCCCCGCCTGCCTGGGGTGTGGGTATGGGGCAAGGCCTGGAGGCAGGCAGCACCAGACATCCTCTGGAGTCCTTCCGGGTGGGGGAGAGGCTGCGTGTCCCCTGGGGATAAAGTCCACACCAGCACCTGGCCTGCCCTGGACGGCCCGCCCGCCCTCTGTTCTGTCTGCCCTGCCCCACCGCATCCGCCCCAACTCACGAGTCCCCAGACGTGCCAGCTCCCTCTCACGTCTGGCCTTGCACACGCTGCCCCCTGGCCCGGAACACCTCAGTCCCACCTCCGACTCCTTTCTAGTTCCTCCAGGTATCAGCCCCCCTCCCCGCCGTCTCCCAGGCTGGGTCAAGCAGGACCCCCAGCTCATCTGTTTGCTGGAGCCGGGTCTGTGTCCCCCTGGAAGGGGGCCCTGAGGTGGGGCTGAGGTGTGTCCCAGCAGTGAATGAATGCCCCCCGAGGGGATGGATGAACCACTCAGTACTTCCTCTGAGTCAGTGCCCGTTCTCAGAGGGCTCACAGGCTGGGGTGCAGGATGGAGACACGGCCAAGGCTGGGGAACAGCAGCAGGAGCACTAACAATGGCAGCGGCAGCAAGAGCACACGGCTCACGTTCCCAGCACCTGCCATGTGCCTGACGCTGCTGAGAGCAATTAACCTGCTCGCTTTATCCTCGGAGCAGCTCTATGTGATGTTATCACAACCCCCACTTGACAGATGAGGAAACTGAGGCCCAAAGAGGCGAAATCACTGACCCCAGAAGCCAGGGTTCCGTTTTCTCCTTGCCTAGGATCCTGACTTCTGCCACACAGGCTGGGATGTGCTCCCCTCCCGCCACCTCCCTTCCCTGCCCACTGCCACCGGTCCCTACAGCTCCCTGTATGTCCTCCAGGGAGGCAGTGTGGGGCAGTGCTGGTGAGCGCCGGCTCCGGGGCCAGGCCTTGGGGGCATGCAGCCCCACCTCTTGAGTCTCCCTCAGCTTCTAGAAAGTGGAGAGGGTGCCAGCACACCTTTGGAGGGCTGGCGTGAGAATTTAACATTGGGCCCATCACGGCCTAGCAGCCCTGAGTGCACGCTCCAGGGCCCGTGGCTTCTGCTGTTCCCAACTCACTGTCCGGTTGGGACAGAGCAAGCGGCCCCCTGGCTCCACCCCTGGGGAAGGTCATTTGCTCCGGCCCGGAGAGGCCCGGCGGGTCCTTGAGCAGCTGAGGCCCACCGGGTCAGAACTGCACGCTGGACTTCCCTTTAAAGAGTGGCATCTGGACTGTATCAGCGTCAGTATCCTGACTGGGATGCTTCTGCAGTGAGGCTGGCTATGTTGCTGGGGAAACTGGGAGAACGGGATCTCTGCAGTTCTTACGACTGCACATGGAGCCACACCGCTCTCAAAATAAAAAGCTGTGTTTAAAACATGGTCCCTTCAGCCAGGAGTGCTCACGGGCAGTAACGACAGCGCTCGAGTTGCTGGCGCACCAACACGGGGCGCAATCCCAACGTGAGGCCGGGGGGCTGCGCATACATGGGAACTGGGAACTTGGGGGATTTTAGACAGGTGACCCAGGGCCACCCCACGTTATATGACACCCGGTAGATCCGAGTGGCACCTGGTGATCACACGCACTCTGGTTTTTTCTGCAGCAAAACCTTCAGTCACACAAGGCAGGAGCATCAGTAAGAGGCCAGCGATGGCTTCTGATTAGTTCCCGTCAGACTCTGCCACCAAACGAGTTGCCCGAACTTAACTGGAACAAGTGGTTTTCAGAAGAGCTTGGGTTCGGAACAGTAGCGAGAGCCAGGCCCCATGCTGAGTGTCCCCGAGGCCCATGTGACCATCATGATCCCCTACGACGCACGGACGAGGAGACGCAGCCCACAGAGGGCCGCACTGCATGAGGCATGTGGACAGCGGGGATGGCCGGCTCGAGGGCCTGCACTCCGAAGCCAGCCTGACGCGCAACACCAGGTCTGTCACCCACAGGTCAAGACCCTCTGGTAAGTGTACTGAGCAAGTCACACCCAACATTCCCATTCAGTGAAACAGAAGAGCAGAGACCAGCAAACACAGCACCTGAGCGAAGGGCAAGCGCTGTGCCGAGAAACTGTCGTGAACGGCACGACATCCAGTGGTGGGAGCCCACCTGGGGCCATGCTGTCCCCTCTTGGCTGTGGGACTCAGGGAGTGCCCTGCTCTCTGGGCCTTGCTTTCCTCATCTGTAAATTAGGGGGAACAGCTCCCAGCACACAGGGTGCTGCGATCTCAGGAGTTACTGTGGTATGAAGGCCACACCTGGCCCGGCCCATGGTGAGCGCTCCTGCAACTCCCAGACAGCCAAACCTCAGGTGTGCGGGCACACGGACAGGCGTGCAAGGCAAAACGCACTTCTAACGGACCGCACTGGGCTATGCCGGAAGAAGCAGCCCAAATGTGAACCATATTACAAACCAAACCCAAGAAATCCTGGGAGGGGATGGGGGTGCAGGAGCCCCCAGATCCGGCCTGGGCCCACGTGAGCCCTGAGCTCCAACCACAGACAGGGAAGAACACAGGGGGCCTTCTGAGAAGAGGACCCAACAAAGGGCCGGGGAGTCCTGGAGCAAGGTCCCTCTGAAAGGACAAGCCTGCAGACGAGGGTGGTGGGTGGGGGACTGAACACGAACCCGAGGTCAGTCGCTGCTGAGGGTCTGAGGCCCGGCCCCAGAGGGAGAGCAGAAGGGAGACACACCCAGCTCCCCAGGGCCCTAGCGAGGTCCTGGCACCTGCACACAGCCCTTCCTGTGCGCTGCAGGCTCTGCCCCCAGACAGCCCCAGGGGAAGCTGCACCAGTGCTAAGCGGGGCCCTTCTGCTCTCATTCAACCCTCACAGGGACACCGAGGCAGGCCCTCCTGTCGCGCCCTCTCACAGATGAGGCCACAGAGGCCGCAGGGCCCAAGCACTCAGAGCAGAAACAGCTCGCGGCTGGCGTCCTGACCCGGAGCCGGGGCCTCCAGCCCCTGCGCCTGCACCTGCAGACTCCGCCACCGTGGCTCCCGGCAAGGAACGTCTATTTTACCTGACACCCGACACATCTAGACTCACGCCAACGGAAAATATTTTTCCACAAAATATACACACACTTCCTCCCAATGACAAATTGTTTTCTTGTCTATTCTATCTGAGGACGGACGGGCTGGGCTCAAACCATTCAAGTGAGCTGCGGCCCGCGAGGCGCTGCAGGCATGGACTCTGGCTTCAAGTCCCACTGGCGCCCTCTCTGCGGGGCGACCTCGGAGGAGGCCTTCCCCTCTAGACCTCAGCTTCCTTCCTGGAAAATGGACTGACTCAAGCGTGCAAAGAGCTCACAACAGAGCGAGGCCCGCAGTGAGCGTGCAGACGAGGAGACGGAGGCTGAGGGAGGAAAGGCCCTTCGCCCGCCCCAGGGCCCGGGTGCTGAGGGGCAACGCCGCGGGCTCCTTCCTTCATCCAGGCTCACGCCCTGGCTCGGCCTCCGAGGAGGCCACGATCTCAGAGCGGGCCTGGCACGTTCTCCGTGAAACTGCAGCGGGTCACAGGACAGCTCCGGAGGGCAGGAGGGCGGGAGGCAGAGACTCTGGGTGGGGGCAGCTGCCCTAGGGCCAGCCCCCCTGCCCGGCATCCAGAGCCCGAGGAAATGCGTCAGAAGGGAGCAGGGTGGAAAGCCCGCAGGCCTGTGGAGGCCCAGGGTGGCAGGGACCTCAGGCTCACATGGGGACTCCCCAGTGCTGCTGGCAGAGCCCCCACAGGGAAATGGGCTGTGACAATTCAAAGGCTGGGTGCGGCTCCACCACAGGTGGGTCCAAAAAGAGCTGTGGATGTCCCCCAGTGTTCCACGGCATCCACAGGCCTGGGAGGGAGCTCAGACGCCGTACGTCCACAAGGCTGGAACTGACCGTCTGGGCCTCAGGGAGCAGGTCGTTAGGCCCCAGTCTGAGCAAAGCTGAGAAGAACCCCACTCCTCACCCTGGGGAAAGGCTTTCCCGCAACCCCAGGAGGGGGCGGGGAGGCCCTTGCGGCAGAGCTGTGCTCCTGGGAGCTGCTCTCCTCTCTGGCCCCTTTCGGTTCCTCCGGGCCCCTCCCCCACTTGGAGCCCTGCCCCCACCCAATCCTGACTGTCCTTCTGGGTTACTCATTACTGAGCTCTCCAGCCCCAATGACCTTTACCCAGAGCCCACAGCTACCCACGAGGTGGCCGCTCCTCTTGTCACCATTTCCCAGATGGGGACACCAAGGGAGAGGTTTGGGAGCCCAAGCTCATAGGACTGTTCCTCTGCTCCGTTCCCCATCCTCCTGGGTGTCACCCCAGCCCCTTCTCCACTTTGCCCCTCAGTCTCCAAATTCCCCGCTCCTCGATGCCTCTGTCCCTGCCCTGACACAGGTGTCCCTGGCCTGAATGCCCCCTCCACCCCAGGCCAGCGGGCAACCTGTGCAGTCTGACCAGGCTGCCTCCCCCTGCGGCCTGTGGTTCTCGGCCCCCCGGTAGCTCTCCCCAGATGACAGAAGCTGCTCGGTGTGTGGTGAATGAAACAAAAGGAGGAAGTGAGGGTGTGCATGTGTACAGGGGGCAGAAGGACAATTCATTCAACAAACACTGACTGAGCCCCTGCCCAGTGCCAGCCACCATCCCAGTGAGCAAGCAAACAACCCCCTACTCTCAGGGGGCTAACTCTCTGAACGGGGGAGACAGGGGCTGGAGGGCCAGGCCGCCTGGGTTCAAACCCCAGCTCTGCCACCTGCACGTCGATGGGCAGGTGTCTCAACCCCTCCGGGCCTCAGTCCCCCCATCTGTACAACAGGGACGATCATGGTTCCTACCCTGGGGCTGCCACACCGACGCCCTCAGCTGCCCGTGCGGCAGGCGAACAGGCCTGGCGTGAGGGTATGTGCTCTCTGAGTCCTCACCTCTACTGCTGTCACCACCACAGCAACGACAGCACGGGGAGTGGCAGACGGGCAGCAAACTTGCTGCGCTCTAGGTGCCATCCCTCGTCACCTCCTCGTCACCTCCCACGTCCCCCGCCTGCTGTCTCTAACGCACATCGCCCTATTCCATTCCCTCCCAGGCACACGACCTCAGCGGCAATGGCTCTGCTGACTAGCTGAGGACACGGCGAGTTTTCCGCCCCGCTCGGAACTGTGACCTCCACCAGGAGGGCTGTGTGACTCTTGTCCGCCACCAACAATCAGAACAGGCGCTCACCTCACAGCACTTACGTTAACACTGGAATGTTACGGAGAGGAGCAGCGTGGCCCCTGCACAAGGGTGACATGCCAACTCGTGAAGCGTTCCGTATTAAAAACTCATAATCAGAATCATAATCGTTAATTGTTCCACAACACTGACTACGTGCCGGGAGCTGTTCTAAATGCTTGGAAAGCAGAAACTCATTTACTCTTCCCCACTTCACAGAAGTGGGAGAGAAGGCACCGAGAGGCCAGGTAACTTGTCCAGGGTCACCAGGCGAGCGAAGGCAGAGCGGGGCTGTGAACCTGGGCGGTCTGCTAGAGGCCAGGCGCCTGAGGGCACCTGGCGGATGAGTGAGTGGTGAGTGAGTGCTGAGTGGCCTCCTCGCCCCCCAAGCCGCGCACGCTGAGGCCTCCCTCCCCTGCACCCCTCCCCGAGGCCCGCTCACCGTCTCGTAGTCGCGCAGGGCGGCCCGGAACTTGCCCAGGGCCATGTTGCTGGCGGCCCGGCGGTAGTAGCCCTTGATGTACTTCTTGTCGAGCTCGATGGCCCGCGTGGCGTCGGCCAGTGCGTAGCCGTAGCACTCGGTGCGCAGGTAGGCCAGGCTGCGGTTGCCATAGTAGATGGCGTTGTTGGGGTTCAGCTCGATGGCCTGGCTGTAGAACTTGATGGCGTTCTCGTAGTCCTTGGCTGCGGAGGAGGAGGAGGAGGAGGCGGTGTGAGGCAGGGCTGCCGCCCAGCAAGGGCCCTGGGCGGGGTACCGGCCCTGTCTCCCCGTGTACAGAGGGGAAACTGGGGTCCACGGCTGAGCTCAGAAATGTCCTCAGCCTGCCCCCTTCCCTGTCCCAAGCATCCCACCCTAGCTGAAATCACTTCCACCCACCCGTCACCCCAGACCCCAGCCGGGCAATGCTCCTTCCAGGACTTCAGGAGGGTCCTCCTGCGCCCTCCCCACGGCCTGAAGAGGACGGGTCCCTGAGTGCCAGAGCTGACAAGGGAGCCAGCAAATGTGAGCCTGCTCTGAGGCCCCTGGTCGTCCAGCTCTGGTCGTCCCCAAAGCAAGGAAAGCAGCACACAGAGGGCCTGGCAGAACAGGAGGTGGGGACGGAGAAGGGACATCAGCAGAGACCCGAGGAAAGTGACAACCAGACTGGAGGAAGAGCGTTCCCAACGGAAGGGACAGCAGATGCAAAGGCCCGGGGTGGGTGTGGGTGTGTGTGTCGTCTGCGCGTGCATGCATACGTGTGCGTGCTTGTGTTCCAGGACCAGTGAGAGGCTAGTGTAGCCGAGGCAGGGTGAGCTGGGGAGGGTGGGAGATGAGCACAGCGAGGCTGGCAGGACAGATCCCTCAGGCCCTGGCAGCCACAGCGGGGGCTGGACATTGATGTTCTAAATGTGACATCTGGCCAAGGGGAAAAGGCTGATCTTATGTGCACTGAGCTATGGCATGCCCTGCGCGTTACATCTTGACCCGTGGAATCCTCACATCTCCACGGCATCAGCATCGTCCGGAGCTCACTTTACGGACGGCTCCCGGAGGTCTTGTTCAAGGTCAAGCACCCAGTCTGCATCTGCAGAGTCAGGCTTGGACCCCTCGCCCGGGCCCATTCAACAGGCAGGAGACCACAGCTTGGAGGCTTACCCGAATCAGGGGTCCATGATGTGCCAGGTGGCATGTGGGGCCCTGGGTACACGAGTCCCTTCACTGAACCCTCACAACCCCGAGGATGGCTGCATGAGGCCCATTTCCCAGATGAGGGACTGAGGCTCAGAGGAGAAGCCCATGCTGAAGGTCAAGAGGCAAGTGGCAGGCGGGGATTCTGAGCCAGGCCAAGACCCTAACGCTCCCACTCTCCCCTCCAGCCAGGTGGCCTGTGGGCGGGAGCCCGGCACAGGGGCAGGCACAGACACAGGGGTAGGTGGCCTGGGCCCAAACCCTGGCTGGGTTACCCGCTGGGTGTCCTTGGGCAACTTACGTACCCTCTCTGGACTTGCGTTTCAGAGTCCTCCTAAGCCCCAGCCGAAACTGAGAATTCCTGCCCTAACCCCCACTTCAGCTTTCTCCAGAGCCGTCTGATACACCACGACTGTGTTTTGTCTCTTGCTTATAATGCATCTCCCCAGATTGAACCCGAGCCCCGGGAGGGCAGGGGCAGCCCTCTCTGAGGACACAGCAGCTCCCACCCAGCCGTGCCCTGCTGGGGCTCACAGTCCAGTGTGGGGGACACAGCTGTCCTCAGACAGTGAGGTCCAGACAGAGAGTCCTCCGAGTGTGGGGCTGGGGCAGCCCAGCAGGGATGCTGACGCTGGGACCTGGAGGATGAGGAAGGGTGAGGCAGCTGAAGGGAATGGAGAAAGAGGGTCCCAGGCCCCATGAACAGTCCCGCAGGAAGGAAGGAAGGAAGGAAGGAAGGAAGAGACAGACAGACACTAGAGAAAGGAGAAGCAGCCAGGTCCTGCGGAGACAGCCAGGAACAATGCAACAATCCCTCCTGCAGGCTAACATCTGGCAATCTTTCAAATGGCTCCTATGTCCCCTTCTTCAGGCAGCCCTCCGTGACCCCCTGGCTGGGGCAGGCACCCCTCTGGGCCGCTCCGGCCCCTGGGCTCCCCTATCCCAGCTCTGCCCACCCTGGGTTGTCACCGTTAGGTGATGGGCGTGTCCCCCCAGGACCGTGAGCCCTGGAGGGTAGGCTTAAGACTTCCTGGAAACAAGCAAGGGCAGAACCAGGCAGCCCAAGCCTGACCCACCCTCCCCGGAATGCCAGCGCCTTCGAGGACTCCCTCCCGCCACCTGGCTGTGTTCCAGAGCCCAGCTCGCCAGCTCTCCTGACGGGTGAGGTGTTACTCGAGTGGCAGTCTGGCACGGGGTGAGGAGCCTGGTGTCTCAGAGCCTGACATCCAGCCCTGCAGATCCCGACCATGGGACCTCGTGCAAACAGCCCCCGCTCCCTGGGGCTCTGCTTGCTCATCGGAAATGCGGGAATCACACTTGGCCCTGCCCCATGGGGGGACAGTTGTGAGGGTTATATGGACTCACGGATGAAATGCAGTTACAGCTGAGAACGTGATCAGCAGAGCAGACACTTGTAAAAGAAGTGAACTAATGACTATATGAAGGGAAGGGGAATGGAGCAGAGGAAATGGGAGGGGCCGGGACTTCACGCATCCACCCAACACACCACATCCCAGGCCCGCTCTACGTGTTTTAAAAAAACACAAGCACTTTTATTCCTCAAGACATTCCCCATTTCAGAGATGGGGAAACTGAGGCACAGAGAGGTTAAGTCATTTGTCCAGGGGTTGCACAGCAGGTAAAAGGAAGAAACAAGATTTGAACCCAGGCAGCCTGAGCTCTTAACCAAGTCTACAAACCCCGAGACCCGAGGCGGCCTTGGGGGTTAAACACACCTCCCCCATTTTACAGAAGGGCGATGAGAGGGGAGAGATGAGTGACATGGGGGACCAGGCTCTGCCCCCCAAGGCCCCTGGAATGGGCCTGAGCTCACAGAGGTGAGCGAGCCATGTTGGCGGGGGTAGGGATGGGGTTCTCTGAGCCCCCAGGGCCCCTCTCCCCTGACCCCAGGGCCAGGGTGGCTCGGGGTAAGGACTCTGACCGTAGGAGCCAAGCACGTGGGGAGGAAGGGGGATATCCGGGCGCTGCGCTCACACACTCTGACCTTGGGCAAGCGGTTTCACTTCTCGGAGCCTGGCTTCCTCTCTAAAACAAACAGCCGTGCGGTGCCGGGGAGGATGAAACAACGTGCTGTACCTGGCCACCACAGGGGCTCAATTACTCTGGGCTGTAATTATTCTTTTTATTGTTATTCCCACAGCCCCGGAGGCTGCGGCTCGTGCCTGCCCCGCCTGCCAGACAGCGAGGGGCCCAGACCAGGACCTCTGGCCACCTGCCCAGCCCCAGGGCTCCTCAGGGCTCCGATCCCAGGTCCTGGAGGGCAAGGGGCCCCTCCCAATGGCTGACTGTCCCCCAGAAGTCTCACCTCCCCTCAGCAGCAACCCCCCTACTTGCTGCTCCTCCAGAGCCCCCTTCCGCGCCAGCTGCCCGCTGGAGACCGGCCTTGTCCTGGACACCTCCTGACCCCTCGACCCCCACAGTCCAGCAGGCACCGTGTTCCGGCCAGTCAGCCTGCTGAGCAGCACTCAGAACCGTTCACTTCCATCCCTACAGCACCCCCTGCCCGGGTCTGCCCTTCATCCTCTGCTGCCCAGGGTCCTGCCCAGCCTCCTCCCAGTCTCCCAGCCGCCAGTCCTGCCCCTCCTGCGGGGTCTTCCTAAAGCACAAACTCGACCCTGTCCTTTCCCTGCTCAGCACCATCCGCGGCTCACCTGAGTCCTCAGGAGCCAGCTCAGCCTCCTCCTGCAGCCTCACCATTAACTCCTCCTGCCTCTCGCATCCCAGCCCCACTCACTTCCTGGGTGCCAGGCTCTGCTCCCCTCTGGGCCTTTGCCATCCTTGCTCTTGCTGCCTGAAGTCCCCTCCCCCTCTCCAGGGGGCCGCTCTCGTTTCCTCTCGGAGACATTTCTTGAGTCAGTTTCCGTCTCTCCAGCCTGGTCGGCAGCACCGCCACCTCCCCTCACCTGTCCCCCACTGCAGTCTCCTTCCTGGCCTCCGGTCTTGCCCTTGCGTCCAATCTCTGCAAGGCAGCTGGGGGATCTTTTTCAAACGCTAATCAGACTATGTTGCTCCTCTCCTAAAACCTTCCATGGCTCCCTATCTCCATCAGGATGACATCCACACTTCTCGACCCAGCCTCCAAGGCTCTACCACCAGCCTCACCTCTCACCAGGCCTACCTCCTCCTCGTTGCTCCAGCCTGACCACACCGTCCCACTCTTCGAATCCGTCTGTGCTCCCAGCAGAGGCCAACTCTCCACCAAGGCTCTAGACCCCTTCCACGCTGCCCTTCTCCAGGGCCTTGCTGCTGTACGTCTCCCCTCTCTCCTGTGGGGTCAATTCTCCCCTCTACTGGACGACACTCTTAGTCTTGTCCATCCTCAAAAGCAGCAGCCTCCCTCCCCCACTTCTCCGCTCCCCTTCCGAACCAGAACACTGGACATGCTGGTTGACACTTGCTGTCTCCACTTCCAGGCTTCCCGTCCACTCTCCAGGGCCCTCGTATCTGGCTACCACTCTCATCGTGCCCAGAAACAGCTCTGGCCAAGGCCACCAACAACACTCGTGGAGCCAAATCCAACGGTCAACGCTCAGGCCTTGCCTTGGCAGCCTCTGACCTGGGACACAGCCGCCTTGTCCTGGAAGCACTCTCTTCTCTCCTCTTTCCCGACACATTTCCTGATTTCCCTTCTACTTCACTGACCACCCCGCTCAGGCTCTTCCCCTTCTGTTCTAAACATCAGAATTCCTCCAGGTTCTGTCCTAGGCCCCTTCTCTTCCTAGATGACCTCATCCTCTCCCAGAGTGTTCCAGTCCATCCACAGGCTGATCATGCCCAAATTCCTCTCCTCGGAGCTCCAGACTGGCCCATCCATCTACTGCATGTCTCCTCCTGGAGAGCTGAGTAAAATTCAAACTAGTCTTTGCAATGCCTTATGAGACCCTACGTGATATGGCCCTTATCCTAAACTCATCTTGTATCAGTCTAAACAGTAACTCAACAGTAACTGCCAGTCTCCTATCATTTCCTGCCTCAGGGCCTTTGCACATGTGGCTCCACCCACCTGGAACACTCCTCCCCAATTCTTCTCAATGGAAATGTCTTCTCCTGTCTACTCTATCTCAAGCAGCCTCAGAGCCTTATTCTCTACTTCACACCCTGTTGGGGTTTTTTTTCAAAGCACTCATTACAACTTCTAAGTATTTTATCACTTATTTGTGACTTTACTCAACGTCTGATTCTCCTCCTGCTAAATTACACGCTGCTAAGGGCAGGGCTGCCACTGCCTCATTGGCTGCTGATAACCCCGGAGTCTCGCACAGGCCTTAGCACACAGCACGTGCTCCACAAACATGTTGAATGAATGAATGAATAGCTGCCCCCACGTCTTACTCTTTCCCAAGATGCTAAGTCATACTATTCTGGGGACTCCCCCACCTCTACCCTCAGGGCCTCCCACACATCCCTTCTCCGCGCGTAACCCTAAAGCTCCTACTTCCTTACCCTCCCATCTAATGATTTGTTCCCCACCCTCACGATTCCCTACTCTGTTGGGACAGCCCCCCGCAGCCTCCAGTCGGTGTCACCCACCCCAGGTCTCCCCACTTGGTAGTGCCACCACTCCCCCGCCCCGTGTCACCCCGTGGGAGCGCCCTCTCCAGCTCTCTCGGGGTCCCACACTCGGTAGGGTCCCCGTTCCCGGCCCCCTCCAGCCTCACAGTCGGTGGCGCCCTCTCCAGTCTCCCCACTTAGCAGCCCCCGCTCCGCACGCCACTTCGGACTATCCCCCCTTCTCTCTGGAGCCCCCGCTGTCGCCCCTCGGGAGCGCCATCCCGGGCGCCCCCCACGCCCGGGCACTTGGTGGCGCCCGCCCCGCGCCCGGGCCGCTGCCCCGCGTTGCCATGGTTCCGCGCGGGCCCCGGCAGCCCTGGCCCCGCGCCGCTCTCCGGCCTCCCTCGCCCCCTCTCCGGGCCGGGCGCACCTTTGAAGTAGTCGTTGGCCTGCGTCTTGAGCTCCTCCGCCCGCTTCAGAGCGCCATCAGCCGGGGGCTCGTCCCGCGGGGGCTCAGCACACTCAGTCCGCTCGCCCTCCGCCATCGCCATGCCGCAAAGCGACCCCCACCCTGGCAACCGCCGCCAGCGGCACCCGGCCGAATCGTCGCGAAGGAGCGCCGAGTGGCGCTGCCGCTGCTGCACAAGTGTCGTAAAGCGCGGGCCCGGAGGCGCCTTGGGCGCGCGTGCGCAGGGCGCTTTCTCCCGAGAGCGCGCGGAGGACAAGGTGACCAGGGGGCCCCCTAGAATGAGCCAATGGGGAAGGCAGGAAGGGGCGCGCGGGGGAAAAAGGCCCGGGGTGGCCCCGGCTCCCAGAGTTACCGTGTTCCGAGGATGCGGAAGTTTCTCGGGGTCTTCAAGTGGGATTCCCACGCCGTCTTCTCGGGTTGGTGGGTGGATGGTAGATGCCGCCGGTGGGTGTGGCTGTGCTGCCAGGCAGCTCCGTGCCCGACGAGGAACCGGAGCTGGGAGGCTGGCCTGCTGTCAGTTCCCCGTGTGACCTTGAGCAGATCTACCCCTGCTCCTCCAGAGCCTCAGTTACCCCTCTCTGAAGAATGGGTGGTTTCTCAAACCAACAGAATTCAGCTCCAACCTTGTGGAGCAATGTTTCTAGGATATGACCCGAAGGCGCCCTGGATCCCCTAGCCCGGAGCCAGGCTCAGAAGCTTGTTGCACCATCTCTCTCGCCTTCCTCACTCCCCAACTTTCCATGGCTCCTCAGTGCCCCTAGGAGGAAACCTAAGCTCTTCCTGATGACCTGGGAGACCAGGAATAGTCTGGCCTCGGGCCGCATCCCCAGATGCCCACACGCTGCACACCCTTCCAGACCATCCTTCCCCGGCCCTCAGCCGACCCTCGTGCGGAACGGCAGCCCCGAATCCTTCAAGGATCTGCCCTGGGTCCCCTCCTGGAAGCACAGGCTATCCCACCCCCAAACCTTCTCGGCCTGGCAGTCTGACCCCACCACCTCCGGCCACGGCCAAGTCACCCTGGAAGGCACAGAGTAGCATCGTCTACATTCTACGGCCCAAGACACTGAGATATGTAGAGGTCAATGCACTTACCCAAGGTCATACAGCAACAAAGTGGCCAAGCCAGCACTTGAACCCATCCCAGCTAAGACCTCTGCCCTTAATGCCTACTCTGCCGTCTCTGTAGGCTCCAGAGCCCACTTTGTGGGTTAGGTTTTTGAGATTTTGGGGGGTGGGGGGTGGGGGTGGGAGGGCTGCCATAATGGATTTGAATCCTAGATTTGAGTCCAGCTCAGCCCTTTCTTGCTGTGTGACCTTGGGCAAGTGACTGTCCTCTCTGAACCTCTGTTTCATCCTCTGTAAAATTGGGGATAATAACCGTGCTGTTGTATAGGATTAGAGGAGAGTTTGATAAGATCACATGAGTAAAGTGTTTGGCAGAAGGCTTAACACAGAGCAAGTACTTTTTATATTCACTCTATTATAGATACTCAGAGTGGGACAGAGTACCTAAAGCTGTGATTGGGTGGGGAGTCTCAGGAGCTTGTGGGAGGACCTCACCCAGCTGGGGCAGGGAAGACTTCCTGGAGGAGGGCACGTCTGAACCAAGATTTGAAGTATGAGTAGGAGATAATCAAGTGAGGAGAGGGAGGAAGGGAGAAAGGCATTTAAGGCAGAGGGAACAGCAAGTGCTAAGGCTTGAAAGTAGTTTTCTTCCTTTGAGAAGATTCCTACGTGGAACATGGGAGAGGGATTAGGGGGGTGATATATAGAGACGTGACAACAGGCACAGCCATCAGCACGTCAATCTGTAAACACGCAATCACTCTCTCCCACACACACACTCTAGTGCAGAGAATCATGTCACACAGACAGGCATCAGTACAGAATCATAGTGTCCAACAGTCCCACACATGTACACAGAATCACAACACCACAGACACACACAGCTACCAAAAAGAAAATAAACACCTCCCACACTCAGGAACACAGAAATCCAAAGAAACCAGAAGCACATAAGGCAGAATCATTTCACCCAGATAGTGACACACACATGTAGAAGGAATGACAAAGCCCCCCCCGCAAAACAGGTTCACAGAATTGTCCCCAAGACACACACACATACAGAATGACATCACCAGACACACAATGTTGCATAGACCCACATAGGAACACAGAATCACACACATACAGAATCACAAAGTGACGTGGACACTCAGTCACCCAGTGCCCCCACGCCCCCTGAAGCAAGCCCACAGATGAGTCAACACACAGAGGTCTGGTGCCCACCAAGGCGAGGTCTTTATGGTGGTACAGAGATTAGTGGGTTTCAGAGCCAGCGTGGCTGATCCAGTCCCTTCCCCTCCCCCAGCCTAGCACAGTTCCCTCCACTGAGGGCTCAGGTGACCCCCTGAGGGAGGGAGGGGTCAGACCCTTCTCCCCCCATAGCACCAATCTGGACAGGCCATCCCCTGACGAAACAGAGTGAGACGTGCCTTCCAGAAAGGGGGTGAATTGGGCTGAGAGAGGGAGGCCTTTTCCGTGGGAGACCAAGAGTAGCACCATCGTAGAAAGAGGGTTGGGGGGTAAGGGGGACTCATAGGTGGTGGCAGGGTACTGAGGAGTCCTGGCCTCTCTCCCACCCCATGATATGCATATAGGGCTGTGCGTGTACCTGTGCGGCTGGGGAAGTCTCCTGGATTGCAAGGGAGCCCCAGGTCCCCAGATACCTGGGGTAAAGTAAAGGTAAGTGCACATCTGGAGGGCTGAGATGGGGGTGGTTCTAGGACAGAGAAATGTTAGGGATGTAAGATTGAGAATAGAGAGGCTTGAGCATGAAGTCCATTAGCAAAGGAACCGGGAGGGCAGGGATTTCAAATGGGAAGACTTAAGACAGAGAGTAGGAATTGGGGCGAGGGGAGTAGGGTGAGAAGCCCAGAATAGAGTTAGGAGGGGGGGGTCCGGAATCAGGGAGTCAGAGGTCATAAGATTTGGAACCTGAGGAATCTACAGGACGAGGTCCAGATTCTAGAATCGGAAGCATTTGGAGGGTGCATTCTAGAACCAAAAGAATTTGGATCTGAAATCAGAGGCAGCTGGAGGCTGTGAGGTCTAGAACCAGAGGAATCTATAGAGTAAGGACTAGAGTTTGAAAAAGTGAAGCCAAGTTCTAGAACCAGAGGGATTTTGGAGTTGTAAGATCTAGAATCAGGAGTTGGAAGTTGTAAGGTCTAGAACCAGAGAAATTTATAAGGCAAAGTCTATAATCAGAAGGTGTTTGAAGGCTGAGTTCTAGACCCAGGGTAATTTGGAGTCAAGATCTGGAGTGAGGGGGAATTGAAGATTGTGAGGTTTAGAACCAAAGGAATTTATAGGATGAGGTATGGGATCAGAAGACATTTGAGGCCAAGTTCTATAACCAGAGGAAAAAAAGGAGAACATCAGATCTGGAATCAGAGGGTCCTAGAAATTGCAAGGTCTAACGGTTATGTAGTCTAGAACCAGTGAATGGTAGAGGTCATGAAGTCTAAAGCAAAAGAGAACTGGAGCATGGTATCTGGTTCTGGAAACACTGGTTATCAGATCAAGACATAAAACTCATTTTACTTCTTTTTGATGGGAAAAGCAAGCTTGAGTGTGGCACGCTGAAAAGGAACGAGCTGGGCATGATGAGGTTTAGAACCAAATTATTTAGAAATTAGGAAGTCTGAATATAGAAAAAAATGTATTACACATCAGGAAGACTAGAACCAACACAAAGCTTGGGGTTGTGGGGTGCAGAATCAGAGGAGATCGTTGGTGGTAAGATCTGGAATCAGCAGGAGTTGGAGCACGTGACATCTAGCACAAGGGAGATTTACAGGGAGAGGTCTAGAACCAGAGAAAGCCAGAGAGTAAGTTCTAGAACCAGAGGACTCTCGTGCTTGTAGGCTCTGGAACCTGAGGGAGTTGAAAGGTCTGGAACAGGAGAGAGCTGAAGATTGAAAGATCTGGAATCAGAGGAGTTTAGAGGATGCAATGTCTAAAACAGACCACATTGGAGGCTGTGCAGTCTAGAGCCAGAGAAGACTGGAGGTTGCATGGTCTAGAACCAGAGAAGGTCTCAAGCAGTGTACTCTAGAACCAGAGGGGGGCCAGAAATTGTATGGTCTAGAACAAGAAAAGGCTGGAGGTCCTCAGGTCTAGAACCAGAGGTGGTCAGAAGCAGAGTCTAGAACCAGAGGGGGTTGGAGGTCATGTGGTCTAGAACCGGAGAGGGTCAGAAGTTGTGTGGTCTAGAACTGGAGAAGGTTGGGGGTCGTGTGGTCTAGAACCGGAGAGGGTCAGAAGTTGTGTGGTCTAGAACTGGAGAAGGTTGGGGGTCGTGTGGTCTGGAAGAAGAGGAGGTTGGAGGCTACACCTGGAACAGGAAGACCACGAATGAAGTCAGTGTCCAGGCGAGGCTAGGGGAAGCAGAAGTCCAGAGCGGAGCAGGTAGGCAGAGCTGGGTAGTTGCTTGGGAGGCTGAGGGCTCAATGAGAAGTCGCTGGGGGTGCGGTCTAGCCCAGAGGCCCCCCACCATTGACACCTGAGGGCAGGGGAAGATCAGAGCACCACGTTCTTATGGACCCTAGGCAATTCATAGCAATGAAAAACTTATCATGAACACAACAAAAATAAAAATAATAGTAAAAGAAAGATGGATGGAAAGAAATGTGATTATGGTTGTCAGTACTCCCCAGAGCCCAGAAACACAGATCTGAACCCCAACCTCCCCCATCCCTAATTACCCAAAGTAAAGCCAAGAGAGCTGGAGAAAGGGATGAGGTAACCAGTACGGAGAACCCCAAGGGACGTCCTGAGAGCAGAAGGAGGAGGCCAGGGACCCCCTCCCAGAGGTCACTGAGCTGAGACCACCCCAGAGAGCCCCCAGACGGGCGGGGGCAGAGGGGTGGGGGCTGAGGTAGGCCCGAGGCGGGCGAGGGCCACTGAGAGCAGAGAGGGCAGCCCCCTCCTGGCGCCCCCATCCTGTGCGTTGGCTGCCGGCTTGGAGTGTGGTTGAGGTCCTTTCTGGGGAGGAGGAGGGCGATGGGAGGAGGGGCTGGCTCAGTCGGCCTGGGCCAAACCTGCCGCTGGCTGGAAGTGGCTCCTGGGCTGGGCGGTGTCCTCATCCTGGTAGAGAGAGAGCAGAGAGGGGCCCAGGCCTGTGGGGGGAGATGGAAGGTAAACCAGGGGAGAACGATCACCCCAACTTGTCTTCCCTTCCTGACAGTTAAAAGCGGGGGTGGTGAGGCCAGCAGGCCGGGATTCAAATAGCAGTGAAATCCCAGGCGAGTTCTGTTCTCTGCACCTCAGGTGTCCAGGGTGTTTAAGGCAAGAGGTAAGAATCCTGGAGCAGATGCTGCCTGAGTTGGAATCCAGGCTCTGCTATTTACTTGCTGTGTAACCTGGGGCAGGTGACTTCACCTCTCTGTGCCTTGGTGACCTCACCTGTAAAATGGGCTAACAACAGTACCTCCCTCCCAGGGCTGTTATGTGGAGTCGATGAGGGAATCCATGTAGAGTACTTTGAACAATAACTGGTACTGTGAGCGCTCAGTACATGAGCTGGAAAACAGGGGTACTTATACCCACCTCATTTATGAGAATTCACGCATTCTGTGTGCCAGGCACTGGGGACACGGCAGTGAACGGGACAGATGAGACTCCCTGCCCTCGTGGGGCTGACCTTCCAGTGACGGGATCAGTTAGGTCACGGACATAACACATTTGACACAAAGCTTGGCACAGAGTAAGTACTAGATAAATGTTAGCTCTTCATTTACAAATATGTACTGAGGACCTGCACTGTGCCCAGCCTCACAGTAGAGGACAGCCGTGACCAAGACAGGCCTGGCCCCTGCCCTCACAGGGCTCACACCCACAGGGAGAAGACGGCCAAAATCTGTCTTGAGCCAGTGACACAAATACGTATGTGAATATGGACTGTGATGAGTGTTATGAGCCAGCAGCTTAGGAAGTTAGGGAGGGCTTCAAGGAAGGAGTAGTATTTGATCTGAGATCTAAAGGATGCAGTAATTAGGCAAAGAATAGAGGGAAAAGCATTCCAGGCAGAGGGATCAGCATATGCAAAGGTCCTGAGGGAGCCTCCTCAAGCAAGATGACTTTGAAATCACCACAATGCCCTACAGAGGCCCTATGCAGTCTGCCCCTCACCTCTCACCCCTCTTCTCTCTGCTTCAGCCACACTGGCCTTGTTTTTCCCCAAAATAAGACAGATATGCTCCCACCTCAGGACCTCTGAACTCGCTGTTCCCTCTGCCTGGTATGCTCTTCCCCCAAAAACTGTCACGACTCACTCCCCCACTTCCTTCCGGTCTTTGCTCAAATGTCACCTTTTCAATGAAACCACCCCTGGTCATACTCTTTAAAACTGAAATCCCCAATCCCAGAGCTCCTTTTTCCTTTGCACACATTATTTTCCCCCTGGCAGCACTGATTTTCCTCTCTGGCACTCTTTATTTTGTTCGTTTCTCTGTTCCGGCCTGTCTCCCTCGCTAAAATGTCAGCTTCACGAGGGCGAGGATTTCTATGTTTTGTTCACAGTTGTGTCTCCAGCTCCTAGCTCCGTGCCTGGCACTCACTGCGTGTTCAATACATATTTGCTACACGGATGAAGGAAAGAATGAATCAAAAGGCAGTGACTGTGGCTGAAACAGGGTGTGAAGCCGTGTGATCTGAGATAAGGCAGTGGTCAGGCCCTGCAGAGACTTGAGTCCAAGGTGAGGAGCTTGATCTTTCTCCGAAGGGCCCTAGGGAGCCATGGCAGAGTTTTGAGCAGACGAAGACCAGGGTCAGATTTGAGCTTTGGAGAGACCCCTCTGGTTGACGCCTGGAGGTTTCAAGGGGAGCTATGGCTACGGACAGCTGTGCTGCAGATGATGAGAAGAACGCCAACAAGCACGGCCACTTGCCTCGCGCCCTCTGGAGGGGCCGTGGAACCGACATCGCCACAAGCACGGACATTGGTTGTTTATGACAAGCCACATCTTAAGCTAAGCTCTGCCTGTGCAGCATCTCCATGAGTCCTCAAAACATCTCCTTAAGGTAAGAGCTATTACCCAGGCCCCAGTCGACAGAGGGGGAAACTGAGGCTCCAGAAGCAGAAGCTAGCTGGCTAAGCCACGCAGCTGGGAATGACCCTGGCAGGACTGACTCCCAATTGGTTCAGGCTCCAGAGCGCAATCAGATGCCAAGGCTTGGCTTCCACCCCAAGGGGCAGCTTTGGCTAGCCCCTGCCTCCCTTGGAGTCTCTCTTTTCCACTACAGTGCCCCTGAGAGGAGAGACGGGCAGCCTCTTCCCACCAAGGTCACCTCCGGGCACTGACAATCCCCCACCACCTTCAGGATTGTTCCACTCCTCTCTCAACCATCCGAGGTACCTCCCAGGGGAGAGAGGGACCAGAGCCTCTGGAAACCCAGATTGCTACTCACCCAGGGGCTCATTCAGCTCCAGGAGATGGGTGCTGGGGTCCTGCTGGCTCCCTGGGGCCGGTCCTCCTGTCAGAAGGAAACTCTGCAGGACAGAAATGAAATCATCATCATCATCATCAATATCCAAGGAGGCAGGATGGTGCAGTGGTTAAGGACGCTGTGGGGTTCTAGCTGCTTCTCTGCTGGGTTGTTGTGGGTTGGAGGTGCCTCTCCACGGAGGGTTCCAGCTCTTACCGGGTGGACCTGCTCTGTCAAGGGTCCAGTATCCACCCCGGCCCTGTGCCTTCAGGCCACGCTCCCCGTGGTGCCAGCCCCAGGGCACTGCCCCAGCTCTTGTTGATTCCTACATGCTGCCCACACCTTGGCCAATGCTCCTGTTACTAAATCTCCTCAACATCCCATTGGAGCGTGCTGTTTTCCACCCAGACCCCAAATGAGACAGTTGCTTAACCTCTCATGTGTAAATGTGTATTATAATAATAATAATATTTCAAGAGTGGTTGTGGGGATTAAATAAATTAATCATGTGAGGCACCTCCTGCAATCAGTGTCTGACGCATGGCAGACACTCAATAAATACAAGTTGTTGACATTACCAACCACACGCCTCATGTTCGAACAGCCCTGTTCCGAGTGAGGAGCCAGGGTGCTGCCCTGGTTTGCTTTGTTTTTCTACCTCCATCTACCAACAGCCCGCTGAGGATCAGCTAAGGGCCCGCTTTCACTGGATCTCATGGCCATCCCGTGAAATGTGATTATCCCCACTTTCCAGATGAGGAAACTGAGGCTCAGTGTGGTGATGTCACCTGCCCAAGGTCTCATAGATAGTAGGTGGCAGACCTGGGACTTGAACCCAAGTCCTGCTGGCTCTAATGTCTGTACTCTTAACGCTACCCTAATAATCTAAGACCAGGACCTGTTCTAGGTTTGGGGTTGGGGGCGCTTCCCCGGAGCAGAGAAGATTCCTACAGATGCTGACCTTGTCATTTCTCCCCTTACCCTGATTGATGTTTCTTCCTAGCACTTACCACTGACTTACATATATTTGCAAAGCCCTTTCATACGCATCAGCTGAAGCGGCAGGTCAAGATCTTATCCCCAGCGGGACTATGACCGTCCGTCTGACCTTCAGGAAGCCCCTGCCTCCTCTTGTCATCCCATCTATACAACTGTAGGTTTAAGCCCGCTGGGTTCTGAGGGCCAGAGAATCCCACGAACCCCCATACATACCAGGCTGAGGGGAGGCAGCAGGAAGTTTTCGGGATCTGGGCTGGGGGATCGTTTTGGGGGTCTCACTCCCAGCAGCTCCATCCCCTCGGCCTCGTCCTCTGAGCTCTGGGCCAGGGCCCTGCAGGAAGACAGGCAAGAATGTGGAAACACAGCACACCTGGGCAGGTGTGGGCACCAGTATCAGAAATGATGAGCGTTCATTCACTCCCCCAAGCACCTATTTATTCCTTTACTTATACACCCACCAATCCATCCATCCACCCATCCATCCATCCTTCCATCCATCCACCCACACACCAATCCATCCATCCACCCACACACCAATCCATCCATCCACCCACTGATCCATTCATCCATCCATCCTTCCATCCACCCACACACCAATCCATCCATCCATCCACCCACAACCAATCCATCTATCCACCCATCGATCTATCCATCTATCCATCCATCCATCTACCCATCCACCAATCCATCTATCCACCCATTGATCCATCCATCCATCCATCCATCCACCAATCCATTCATCTACCAATCCATCCATCCACCCATCGATCTATCCATCCATCCATCCATCTACCCACCCACCAATCAATCTATCCACCCATTGATCCATCCATCCACCCATCCATCCACCAATCCATCTGTCCACCCATTGATCCATCCATCCACCCATCCATCCACCCATCCATCTGTCCACCCATTGATCCATCCATCCACCCATCCATCCACCAATCCATCTGTCCATCCATTGATCCATCCATCCACCCATCCATCCATCCATCCATCCACTCACCAATCCATCCAGCCATCCATCAACCAATCTATCCATCCATATATACATCCATCCATTCATTCTCCATCCACCAATCCATCTTCCCATTCACCTGTCCAATGATCCATCACCCATTCACCCATCTATATAACCTTCATCCATCTATCCTTCCATTCATCCACCAATCTGTCCATCCACTACCCACCCACTCACCACCCATCCATCATCCATCCATCCACCTACCTACCTACTATAACTTCCTCTGTCCCTCAGTTAACAAGTCTTTATTAGGCACCCGCTGTATATCCAGCGCCAAGCCAGGAGCCTTGGGAAATACTGAGATGTGTCCATAAAGGCCTCATAAGGACAGTAAAGAGACCACTCTGGAGACTAACTGGGCACATGCCTGCAACTTGGAGAGCAAAAACTTGACTATTAATAATCTAATGTCTTTGGAAGGGGGACACGGGTCCTCTGAAATGACACGCAAAATTGTGTGTCTGTATGTGTGTGTGTAAATTTTCTTGGGAAAGAGCCCATAGCTTTCAACAGATTCTCAAAGGTGTCAGGAAACTTAGTTCTAAACAGTTCCTCTGACACTACGGCAATGTCCTCTTAACTACGACAAAAACTGTCACTGAGCCAGATATAAATATGTTCCAAAGGAGAGGGCCCTGGGTGACTGGCAGGATCTGGATAAACAATGAGAACAGTGGAGGGCACTCCAGCAGGAGGGCACAGCCTAGGCAAAAACATGGAGGTTGGAACAAATGTGGCATGTGCTGGCAACACTGCGGGCCTGGCTGGAGCAGAGGTCAGGGTAGGAGGAATGATGAAGGATGAGGCTGAAGAAGGAGACAGGAGCAAGATAGGGGGTCAGGGACCTTCTCTCCACTCCCTTGATATCCCCCTCTCCTGTGGCTCACCTCTTCCGAGCCCCAGCCATGGGGGAGGATGCGGAGGGGTTCCCACGGGACGGGCTAGAGCAGCTCAGCCGGGGGTCACTCCCCCAGCGGGGCAGGAGGGAAGGCTCAGGGGTTGGGGGCGACAGGCCGTGGAAGCTCCGGGCGCGGGGCCGGGGGACAGCCCCCGGAGGTCTGTGGTAGGCTCTGGGTAGCTGCTCGCTGGAGTTGAGCTGGAAGTCATCATCCATGGAGATGTAGGGGGCCAGCATCTCCAAATCCAGAGCATCGACGTCCTGCAGAGGGCAGGAGGGAGTTAAAAGTCTGAGCCTTGGCCTCAGGTGGCTGAGTTGCGTGTCTGACGTCAAGGGTCTGAGACCCAGTTTTCTCACTTGCAAAATGGGTAAAAGGGCTCTGTGGTTGCCACTTGCCTAGATGGCCCCCAAGGATCCTCACCTCTGGGTATTCGCACCCTAGCGTGGTCCCCTGCTACAGTGACTGGGACTGACTTGAAAAGTGTAAGATACTGAGGACATGATGGTGCGCGACTTGCAACATCAGGTTATAAAAGATACTGCGGCTTCCATTTTTGTCTCGCCCTCCCTCTCGGATCACTTGCTTTCGGGGAAGCCCTGTGGAGAGATCCACATGGCAAGCAACTGAGATCTCTTGCCAACAGCCAACTGAGTCATCTTGGAAGTGGATCCTCTGGTCCCCGGTCAAGCCTCCAGACGATTGCAACCCTGGATGACATCTTGAGTGCATCCTCATGAGAGACCCTGAGCAAAAGCCACCCAGCTAAGTGGCCCCCACTCCTGACCCTCAGAAGTTAGGTGAGGTAATATGTGTTGGTTGTTTTAATTGGCTAAGTGTTAGGGTAATTTCTTATCTGGAAATAGATAACAAATAAGATTTTGATACCGAGAATGGAGTGCTACCATGGCAAGAACCTAAAACATGAGAGTGGCTTTGGCACTGGGCAGCGGGTGAGGGCTGGAAGGACTTTGAAGAGGCTATCAGAGAAAAGCCTAGGTTGCCTTGGCTTGCCAAACTATTTGTCAACATCTGAACCATGAGCCTGCCAGTGAGGGCTTAAAAAGATGTCAGGAACATGTTATTGGAAACCAGAGGAAAGGGCATTTCTGTTGTGTAGTGGCTGAAAGTTTAGCAACACTGTCACCTGTAGTTTTGTGGAAAGTAGAAAATGTAACTAGTGGACTGAGTGATCTAGCTAAGGAGGTTTCCAGCCAGAGTGTTGAAGGGGCTGCTTGGTTTCTTCTTGCTACGTTGGAGTAAGAGGCAAGAGGAGAGAGAAGCTAAAGGAAGAAAGGTTAAACGTGAAGGAGCTGGGACCTGAAGGTCTTGAAAATTCTCAACCTCCCTGTGTCTCTAAGAATTAATTTTACCCGAAAAGAGGTTCAGCCTTTGTCCTGGCTCCTGGGAGGTACCCCCTGAACCTTGGAATTTCCTGAGTGACAGTTGTGTCTTGGCTACTCATGGTGGGCCCCTTGGACCACACCTCATAGTGTATGCTAACAAGATGACTCAGGATGAGGCTGGTCATGCCAGAAAGGCCAACCAAGTTGGGGCTTTGGGTCGTGTGAAATCAGCTGCCCTCCAAGGAAAGTGTGTGTGTTGGGGGAGATGGAGATGAGATCGAGTTCACTACATGGGCCATGACTCAAGCAATCATGCCTACATAATGAAACCTCAAGAAGAACTCTGGACACCAAAGCATGGGTGAGGCTTCCCAGAGTGGCCATACTCCCTGTGCATGTTGTCACCTGTCAACCCCGGGAGAGTAACACGTATCTGGGGACATGAAAGCTTGGCATTTGGGACTCTCCTAGTCCCAGATTCCACCCCATGCATCTCTTCCTTTGGCTGTAATATTCTTTTGTTATAATAAAACTGTAATCATAAGTCTGGTGCTTTCCTAAGTTCTGTGACTGGTTCTAGCGAATTATTGAAACTGAGGGAGTCCATGGGAATCTCTGAATTTGTTGGCAGCCGGTCTGAAGGGAGGGTGGCCCTGGGGACCCCCAGACTCAGGCAGACGTGGCAGACTGGGCCTTTCACCTTAGGTTTGGCTGACTCTGGGAACTCCCCAGAAGGCAAATGATGCTAAAATTAGCATCTGTGTAAAGAAGGGCATTCTCAGGAAGGTATGGTTGAAAGCCAGCTGCTGTGTTGTGAGGACACTTGGGCAGCCTGTGTAGAGGCCCACGTGGTGAGGGACTGAGGCCTGCCAACAACCATGTGTGTGAGTTTGGAAGCGGGTCCTCCAGCCCCAGATGACTGTAGCCCTGCCTGAGAGCTTGGTTTCAACCTCATGCGAGACTGAGTAAAAACCATCCAGCTAAGCTGCTCCCAGATTCCTGATTCTCAGAAACTGTGTGACATGATAAATATTGGCTGTTTTAAGGTGCTGAGTTTTGGGCTCATTCATTGTGCAGCAATAGGTAACTAATACATCATGCCACTGCCATTTATCTATCCACTCAATCAATCATTCAAATATTATCTACTCACCTATCATTCAACCAATGAACCAATGGTCTATCTATCCAACTACCCATCCAAACATCCATCATCCATCCATCCAAATATCTGTCTAAACACCACCATCTGTCTATCCACCATCATCCACCTAATGAATACAATGGTCCAACCATCCATCCATCCATCCATCCATCCAAATATCTGTCTAAACATCACCGATCCATGTATACACCATCATCCACCTAATGAATACAATGGTCCATCCATCCATCCATCCATGCATCCATCCAAATATCTGTCTAAACATCACCCATCCATGTATACACCATCATCCACCTAATGAATACAATGGTCCATCCATCCATCCATCCAAATATCTGTCTAAACATCACCTATCCATGTATATACACCATCATCCACCTAATGAATACAATGGTCCATCCATCCATCCATCCATCCAAATATGTGTCTAAACATCACCCATCCATGTATCCACCATCATCCACCTAATGAATACAATGGTCCAACCATCCATCCATCCAAATATCTGTCTAAACATCACCAATCCATGTATATACACCATCATCCACCTAATGAATACAATGGTCCATCCATCCATCCAAATATCTGTCTAAACATCACCCATCCATGTATCCACCATCATCCACCTAATGAATACAATGGTCCAACCATCCATCCATCCATCCATCCATCCATCCAAATATCTGTCTAAACATCACCCATCCATGTATCCACCATCATCCACCTAATGAATACAATGGTCCATCCATCCATCCAAATATCTGTCTAAACATCACCCATCCATGTATCCACCATCATCCACCTAATGAATACAATGGTCCATCCATCCATCCATCCATCCATCCACGCATCCCCTTAACCATCCCACCACCCCTCTCTCAAATTCAGACATGTCAGCCCCCAGAGCACAGGGGTGAAGACTCTTCTTCCACGCCGGTCCTCACCTGAGCTATATCCAGATCTGTCTCCACTGCCTCAAGGTCTTTCCCGGAGGCAAAGACTTTGTGTGCATTCTCCACATCCACAAGTAGTTCATCTGGGAGATCAGCCTGTGGGGAAAGAGAATCGAGGCTTCAGGAAATCTTGAGCCCAGGAGATGGCAACAGTGAGACAGTCTGGACATCTGAACTCAGACAGAAGCGAGGGTCGAATGTCAGAGAGCTGGGACACTGAGGGGGTCAAAGAGCAGATGCAAATAAGTTCTGAACCCGGGTGTTCAAAAGTCAGAGTGCACAGGGCAAGCAGAAAAGGTTCGAAAGACCAAACCTGAGGCAGTGCTATTCAGGCCTTCTGGGGTTAAAGGTCTTGGAGTCTGGAGTCTGGGAGATGATGCAGACTCCAGCTGTCCCAGGGGAAAAAGCTGAGGTCAAAGGTCACTCTATTTCTCCGGTGGAGAGAAGGTATTTAGGTGGGTGCATAGGGTGGGAATGAGGAAGGTCAACACCAGATAATTTGGACCCCTGAGTCAAAGGTCAGGATAAATAGTAACCGCTATGGCCTACTGGGCATCCACCAGGGCCCAGGCCCCTGGCTACTGCTTCCCATGAATGATCTCATTGGGCCCTCACAGTAACCAATGGTTGCTCCTTGCCATTATCCTAATTTTACAGGTGAAGAAACTGACGCCCTGCATGTCCAGGGTAACACAGCTGGTAAGTGACGGAGTCAGGATCTGAACCCAGGTTTCTGTAATTTAAGACATTAGATATTCTTGACTCTTTGAGGTCAAAGTTCAGAGAGCCTGGATGCTGGGTCACAAGCAAGGAGGGGGTCACCTGTGCCAGTCCCAAACATCCCAGGTTTTGGTCCAGATAACAGTGGAAGAATCTAGAATCAAGGTCTTAAAGGAACCCCAGACCTTGTCTCATCCCGACCTTCCCACTACACAGATGGAGAAACTGAGGCCCAGAGAATAGCACGATTCAGGCCAAGGGCCCAAGCAGCCTGGACCCCGAGGGCCCAAGAGTGCTGGACTGCTTACTGGAAGAGGGCTCTGGGGGCGCCGTGCGGCCGGGGGTGCGCTGGGGGTGGCGGCAGCTGAAGTCCCATCCAGGATCGGTGCCAGGAGGCGACAGAGGTCAGGGCTACAGAAACGGCGGGGGTCGGCGGCCAGGGCGGCCTCGCTCAGGGAAGGGGGGTGCAGGAAGGCCAGGATCCGGGGACCAGAGGCGTCTGCAGGACACAGAGGAGGACACAGGATGGTCATCCAGGGCTGAAGGGCAGAGCCCTCCGCCCCAACCCCAGGGAGCATAGCTGACATCGTCAACAACCAATCGGGGGGACACTGTTCACAGTGCTGGGTCCTGGAGGAGCCCTGCGGGGCCAGGGGCTACCCCTTCAGTTGTCACCTTGTGGCAGGCCCTGGAGGGTCCCGGGGGAGAGGCCAGTGGAGGGTGAAGGGCATACAGTAGGCTCGAGACAGTCGCAATTGCCCAATGGTGGGGAGATGTTTTAATATTTAAACTCGACGTGGCTGGACCAGGGCACCTGACTGACCCAGTTCTCCAGCGGCACAGAACAGCATTCGGCCATTCGGCTCTGGGAGGCTGGCATGTTACAAGAAAAGACTGGCCCGAGGCCTTCAAGGAGGTTCTCAGGTCCATGGAGGTCAAGACGTGGCCCTGAGTCAGTTCTGAGCCAGAAAAGGAAAAGATACCAGTGACCCCCACACCACACCCAGGCGCATGGGCTGCCAGCAACAGCTTGGAGAAGGTGAGGCCTTGAAGGACAAACAGGGAAGGAAGCTCATCCAGGGGGGTAGAAGGAAGAGGTAGAAAGGAGCCAAACTGGGGAGGGTGGAGATTGCTGGAAGCCAGAGCAGTGAGATGGGAGCAGGGAACAAGCTGAAGGGAGAGGACAATGGGGAGCCACAGCAGGATTCAGCAGAGACCAACAAGTCTGAAGCAATCATCCCAGGGACACAGAATAGGGAGGAGCAGGGAGAGAAGAGCATTCTAGGCAAAGGAAACTGCACATGCAAAGGTCCTGAGGCAGGAAAGAGTCTGGCATGTTCCAGGAGCACTAAGGAAGCTGGTGTGGTTCGGAGAGTGAGCAAGAAGGGGAGGGAAGCAGGAGGCAGGTCACACAGGGCCTGGTGAGCCAAATTAAGGCACTTGGGCTTCCTCCCAAGCATCCTGGGGACACAACCCCTCCCAGCCCCAGCCCTACCCCATACCAAGGCTGTCCCCAAGATTAGGGCCGTCCTGAGAGGGGATACCCCGCTGAACGGGTCTGCGAGAGTGTCGCTCCGTTTGCTCCAAAGACAGCACCACTTCGGTCTCTTCCACCCGGCTGGGGTACAGGGCAGAAAGGGGAGTGGGAGTCAGGGAGGCTCCCTGGCCACAGCCCAGAGGATGTCTTGTCATCAGGATGATATCCTTATAGATATTTACTTATAAACCTATTCTTATAAATGTATTGATGAAGAATCTATATTTAACATTCCCATGTTATCAAATGTGAAGCATTCATAGGGATATATTTTAATGAATAAGGTTTTATTTGTGAGGCTTCTATTCAGGGGCATTTTTCATATTCAAGGGAACAGATTTATAAACGCATCCTTCTTCCGTCCCCCACGCCTCCCCACCCCCCAGTCTCTAGCTGCAGAGACAGCCCAAATGTTCACGGGGCCAACTGGCTTTCGGAGAATCCGGCTGGGGCTGAAGACCAGCCCTCATTTGCATCTCATTTGCATGACACGCTCCAGGATGGAACGTGGGTGGTCCTCCCACCAGCTCCGTGAGAAGCTAGGACCCTTCCACATCCTCACCAAAACCCCTTCCGGGCTGGAAACATCCCAGTTGAGGCTGGACCAAAGCCACTCCATCCCCTTGGAAAACCACAAGCACACGCAGTCACACACGTACACACACTTGGTACACAGAGGCAGAAACAGGAACACTCAGATATGCCCCAGTGTATCCCCGGACAGATTTGGGCACACACGCCCTCCAGGCGGGCTTGCACGTGCATCCAGGCCACGTGGAGCTCACTCGCTCCTTCACTCCACAAACACTTCCTAGACGGCCAGTCCCGCTTAGTGGTTAAGAGCAAGGGCTCTGCAGCCAGCGGCCTGGGTTCCAACCCCAGCGCTGCCACTTACGAGCTGTGTGACCTTGAGCATGTGGCTGAACCTCTCTGGGCCTCGGTTTCCTCCTCTGTAAAGAGGAAATAACAATCCTACCTCCTTCCCAGGTTGTTAGGAGGCTTCAGTGAGTTAATATATGAAAAATGGGTGGAGCCGTGCCTGGCACAAGGCGAGCTCCACGTAAGTATTCTCTGTTATGGTTTATTGAGCAACTCCCGTGTGCCAGAGACTGTTCTAGGCGCTGGCGATTCAGCGGTGCCCCGTATAAGTGAGTTTTACTTTTGTGAAGCATTCGCTCACTGCATTGGAGGGAGGCTCAGGTGCAGAAGGGGAGGGGTTTTTATACCACAAAGTGTAAGCTCCTGAGCACACATAAACAGCCACAGAGCTGCACACCACACAGTACGTACACAGCCCCAAGGCTGATTAACACCCTCCGCTCCTCATTTCCCTGTTACTAAGTAAACTATTCATTCCTCCCCATTTTCTGCCAGCAAAACTGAACCTGCTGGCCTGCCCCTCGATTACAGTGCACACATTTGCAATCCCACGGCTGGGCTGTAAAAAGGCAAATCTTCCTAGTGAATAAAAGGAGGTTCCAGGGGCCGGCCCAGTGGCGCAGCGGTTAAGTTCGAACGTTCTGCTTCGGCGGCCTGGGGTTCACCGGTTCGGATACCGGGTGCGGACATGGCACCGCTTGTCAAGCATCCCACATATAAAGCAGAGGAAGATGGGCACGGATGTTAGCTCAGGGCCAGTCTTCCTCAGCAAAAAGAGGAGGATTGGCAGCAGTTAGCTCAGGGCTAATCTTCCTCAAAAAAAAAAAGGAGTTTCCAGAAAAGATGGGGCCAGGTCCCTCTCTCTTGCAGTGACAATGGAGAGACCTCTTTCCATACCTACAAGTTATTCCAAGTGTCTAATTTGAAAAGGTGTTAAAATGAGAACTTTCCACAGATGCTCAGTCTTGTTTTCTTGGGCAATGTGAAGACTCGTACGAATATCCCTGTTAGCAATTTCTGTTTTCTAACAGAATCTGTCCTGGATCAAAGAGACCTGGGAAAACTCCTAAAGCTTTAGAAATCGATGCCGTGTCCTGGAAGACAATCTTCAAAGAAAAGCTGTAATTCTGTCTGTCTTATGTGATAATTTGCTGCGCTTGTCATGATGTTGTCATGTGAAAAACTTCTAAGATACATGAGGAGGAGGAGGGAGCCTATGATTTACCACTAAGCATCCAATAGAATGGTTGGAATTCAAACCCAACAAGACAAAACAAAGCAAAAGGCTGGCAAGGAGGCTGAGGAACTGGAACCCTCGGACATCGCTGATGGGACCGCAAAATGGTACGGCCCTTCGGAAAACGGTTTGGCAGTTTCTTAGGAAGTTAAATATACACTGACCGTACGACCCATCCATTCCACTCCTAGGTGTTTACTCAAGAGAAATGAAAACACATGATCTCACAAAATCCTGTATGAGAATGTTTACAGTGGCTTTTTGCATCATCACCCAAAATAGGGAACAGCTCAAATGTCCACCCACTGGTGAGTGGATAAACAAACAGTGGTCCACTCATATTCACATCACAGAATACCACTCAGCATTAAAAAGGAACCATTGACACGCACCACAACAGAGATGAATTTTAAATACGTTATGAGTGAAAGAAGCCAAACTCAAAATCCTACATCCTGTAGGATTTTCCAGGATGACATCCTAGAAAAGGCAAAATTCTAGGGTCAGAGAACAGATCGGTGGTCGCCAGGGACTGGAGGTGGGCTGGGGTTCATTAGGAGAGAATTTTTTTGGGTGATGAGATTATTCTATTGCTTGATTGTGGTAGTGGTTACACAATTCCACACATAGCAAAACGCACAGAACCGTACACCAGAAAGAGTGAATATTCTATACGTAAATGACGCTTCATTTTTTAAAAAGCAAAAACATCCCCAGGATTCTGCTAAATTTCTCAAGTTATAGAGTCCTTTTAGTGTAAATTAACAGACACACACCCGTGCAACTTCGTGTGTACCTGTAGACACGTGTGTGCATTTAGTCACACATGTTCCACATACATGGAGCTGTGCACGCTCCCTCTCACACACATGTGCACAATATGCACGCAGGTTTGTGCGCGTGCACACACACACCTGTTCACACACACGCAGACCAGACCCACCCACATAGCCGCCCCACCCCCTCCCGCTTACCTGATCAGGAAGTGGACACAGACAATACTCTCCGACTGGGGGCCCCGGCCCCCCGACACCACTGTGGCCTGGGTCTGGGTCCACAGGTAGCCACCACTCCGGGCCAGGAAGCGATACTGCCCCGTCACTGCCTGGCCCTTGCTCAGCACTGCGAAAGGGGACAGGGAGGGGTCAGGGCCACAGAAGGGGCGAGTGGGGAGAGAAGGATCTGGGAGCAGAGGTTGGGTATGAAGGGTCCAGAGAAGAGAAGGCTCCCTGGGCTGTGGGGAGCTGGGGGGCTGGCTTCAGAGGGTGGGGGGATAGGTTCCCTGGGGAGCAGGGAGTCGGTGTTGTCTGGGGCCATGTAGTGCCAGCTCCAGGCCCCGGGAAATGGACTGGGAACACGTACGGGTGTGGATGCTCTGACCCACTGCGTCGGAGTCCAGCGCATGGATGTACTCGTAGGCGGAACAGCCAATCAGGTCATCGGGGCTGTAGCCGGCAACCTCCGCGATCCTGGGATGGGGGGGTGGGGGGGCCTGGTCAGTTAAACTGGCTGAGGTGGAGGGTGGGTGGAGGGAAGGGGCAGGGGGACAAAGGGAGGAAGCCAGCAAGACAGAGAGACAGGGTTGTAACAGAAAGGGAAAGAACAAGAAATAGAAAAGGAGACGTGGTAGGCTCCATAATGGCGCCCAAAGACGTCCTGATTCCCGGAACCTGGGAATATGCCACCTCACATGGCAAAAGAGACTCTGCATATGTGATGAAGTTAGGGATCCTGAGATGGGAGATGGTCCCGGATTATCTGGGTGGACCCAGTGTAATCGCAGGGGTCACTATAAGACGGAGGCAGAAGATCAGAGTGAGAATCGGAGATGCAATGATGGAGACGAGGCTCAAGATGGAGAAAGGGGCCACGAGCCAAGGAATGTAGGAAGTCTCCAGAAGCTTTTAAGGCAACGATTCTTCCATGGAGCCTCCAGAAGGAACACAGCCCTTGATTTTAGCCTCATAAGACTCATTTCAGATGTCTCACCTCCAGAACCGTGAGACAGTGAACGTGGGTCGTGTTGAGGCACAACTTTTGTGGTCTATGCTACCATCGCAACAAGAAACTAACATGAGGGGAGAAAGAGGGTGGAAATGGGAAGAGTGAAGAAAGAAAAAGAGACAATGTGAAAGAAATACGACAGGGGAAGAGGAAGGAAGAAAATCACGAAAAGAGAAGAATGAAGAGAAATAAAAAGTAATCATGATGATAATGATTTAAAAAACACACACTTCTATAGGGCTCTGTGCCAGGCAACCCACCGGGCGCTCAGAACGACTGTTTGAAGTAGATTCTGCTGTCGTTCCATAGGACAGAGGAGGAAAGGGTGGCCCAGAGAGGTGAAGTCGTTTGGCCAAAGGCACACAGCCAGGATTTAAACCCACAGTCTGAAGCCAGAATCGCCTGCAACTCTGAGATGAGGGAAAGAAGGAAGACACAGAAAAATGAAGGGAGGCAGGGAGGGAGAGAGGAGCAGAGGGGAGAGAGAAAAAGGGAGAAAGGGAAGGGTGGAGGGAGAATGAATAATGACGGTTTATGGAGTGCTTACTTCGTGTCGACACTGGACTACCTGCTTGCCACCAAGTGACTCGCTTAAGGAAAGCAACAGAAGGACCAGGAGGGAGAAACTATGAGAAAGACACAGAGAGAGAGAGAGAGACACGATCAAAGATGAAAAGACCCACAGAAAATTCAGAGACGGGCAGACACACAGAGACAGAGAGAGATGGAGTCTGAGAGACAGAAACAGACCAGAGAGAGGACCCGGGCAGCGGGAGAAGAAACAGAGGGAGGGAAGTTGGGCAGGAAGGCAGACGAAGACAGGGCTCCCGCCCACCTCTCGTCGCAGTAGGTGAACTTCATGTCCAGGCTGTGGCGGCTGAGGAAGGCCCCCCGGCCCAGCGGGGGCTCCAGGCTGCCCGGGTGAGGGATGGCTTCACAGATGAGCACCAGGCATTGCAAGGGGGGCTCCAGGGTGGGGCTCCCAGCTGGAGAAGTCTGTGCAGGGGGCTTGTAGGCCCTCATGTGTCCAGAGCAGTGTAGCACCTGGTGGGGGGTGGAGCAAGATTCCAAGACTCAGGGAGCTCTGAGGGTCCCCAGATTCCAACCCCATGGAGATTCCAACCCCATGGGGGCTGAGGAGCCCCCAGCCCCAGCCCCACAGAGATCCAGCCTAAGAAAGGATTCAGGACCCCCAGACCCAGAACTCCACAGACCCCCAATCTCCTAGATACCTGAAGGATCCACTGGATCCAGCCTGAGAGCCCCACAGGATCCCCGGCCTAGGACACCCCTAGGCTCCAACCTGCTGCCAGAATTTGAGGGCTCATCCCAGCCCCAGCAGGCCCCCAGACCCCTCGCCCTCCTCAGGCCAGCCCTGCCCACCTTCCAGGTGGCCGCTTTGAGGTTGAGGGTGCGCCCGCGGCTGGTGAGGGTGCTCTTCATGCGCAAGGAGAAGCACCGCTCCGTGGGGGCCTCCGGCTTCTTTTTGGAGAGGCCTGGGGAGGGCCACGGTGGGGGGGAGGGGGCGCCGGTCACTGGGCAGCCTCGCACAGGGCCCAGTTCCCTCCAGCACCCTGGGGACTCCAGTCTCCCCAGCCTCATCACCAAACTGAGACCCGGAACCAGAGAGGGGCCCTCAGGGGTGGGGTATCTCCTTCAGACCTCCCAGGGCAGGGATGTGTCCCCTCGGGCCCCAGGGCAGGGCCACATCCCCTTGGAGCCCAGGGAAGGGCCATGTCCCCTCAGACCCAGGGCAGGGCTGCGTCCTCCTTGCCCCATTTCTCTCAGTCCACTCTTCCAGAGGAGAGGAGATGCTGGCGGGAGGGTGGAGCCTCAGTTTCTGTGCCATGGGGACAGAGGCCTCTAGGGAACTCACTGTGCCGTGGGGTCAGGGCGTCCTGCAGCTCCTCTTGGTCACAGGGATGGATGAAATCAAAGATGCTGTGTCCGATGAGCTCCAGCTGCGAGGGAGGGAAGCAGAGGGGGTGTCTGGGAGGGAAAGCACATTCACCAGGGTCTCCGACCCAGCTCCTCCTTCCCATCCTCATCAGTCCTGCCCTAGTTCATGAGCCCGGATTACTTCGTCCCTCTCCCTATTCGTTCATTCATTCATTCATTCATGCCTTCATTCCTTTCTGCAGCATGCTATTTGCAGGCCCTCTTCTAGAGGGTGTGGGCACAGCAGTGACCACACAGAATCCCTCCTCTCAGAGCTTACCGGCTGGCAGGAGGAGATAGACAAGAAACAAAGAAAAACAGAAAGAAAACAGCACACATATGTGAAACAATATAATAAGTAATAGGAAGAAAACGAAAGCAGAGTAAAGTGATGAAAGGATGCAAGGCTATCTTAGAGGCAGTTGTCAGGGACAGTTTCTTTGCAGAGGTGACATTTAAACAAATTGCTAAACAAAGCCGGTGAGTGGTCTTGTGGCTCTCTGGAGTAGAGTGTTCTGGAAAGAGGGAACAGCAAGTGCAAAGGCCCTGAGGTGAGACCCTGTTCAAATCCCACCCGTTTGGCAAGCCAAAGACCAACTTGCTCTTTCAGTTCAGGAAAGGAGCCTGGTGCTGGGAGGAGAGGACACAGACGAAAGGGGACCCACACAGCTCACAGCCCGGTGGTGATGCTGGACTAGGGAAGTGAGCTCTTCCTCCTCTGATGGCCCCTCTTGTAGCTCGATTTGAATTCTGGCTCTGCCACTTCCGAGCTTTGGGACCTTGGGACATTCACCTCTCTGAGCCCAAGAGCTCAAGTTGACAGAGAAATTGGGACCAGAGGTGGGGTAACGAGGCAGGAAAATGCAACGGATGCCAACTACGGAGCCCATTTACATGAAATAGAAAAAAAAGAACGGTAGCTCTCACATGGGGCTTGCTGTGAGGATTAACTGAAATTAGTTCTAGTCACTCAGTGCCTCTTGCTTGTCTTCCCAGCCCCAAGGCCCTACTCCCACCTGAGGCCCGGCATCCACCTCCTTGGGGATCTCCCAGCCTCTGGTCTCGCCCCCTCCAAGTCTATCTCTGTGCAGCACCCAGAGGGGGCTTTCTGAAATGTGAATCTGATTCTACTTCTCTGAGACAACCTCTCCCCTGCTTAAAATCCTCCCATGGCTCCCCAGTGCCCTGGCCATAAACCTTCTAATTTGGCCCTAAACTATCTAGCCCCTGCTGACCTCACTAGCCTTTTTTCTCTCACCTTCTCCCACTGCACTCTGCACCTAGCCAGGATAATTATCTTTATTTCTCCCAAATGGTCTGTTTTATCTCACCCCTGGGTCTTTGCATATTCTGTCCCCTCGGCCATGTACCTTCCCAGTCTTCACTGCTGCCATCCATTCCCCATATCCCTTGACTGGCTAAGTCCTTCATGTTTCAGAACCGATGTCTTCTCCTCCAGGAAGCTCTCCACTGCCCCTCAGGCTGGGGCAGGTATCCCCCATCCCCAGGCATGCACAACCCCCAAGGCTGTCCTGTCCCATCCCAGCCCCGACCATTCTGAGGCTCCCCTGTCTGGGGACACGTCTGTCGTCCCTCTGTACTTTGGGCCCTGTAAAGGCACGGCTAAGGTGGTCCTCGCCCCCTCTGCATTCCTGCATCACCTGCACGGGGCCAGGCACAAAGCAGGCAGCTCCTCTCACCTGACTGAGGCCCAAGTGTTTGCTGACATTCTCCGACAGGTAAGCCATGTCTCCCTCGGCGGTGAGCACCATGACGAAACCCTCCAGGGCCTTCAGGTAGCAGGCATCCAGCGGTCCGCCCCCTGCTGCCACCTGGTTCCACTCCCCTGGTGTCCGGGCCAGGGTGGATGGGGCATCTCTATTCAGCCGTGGGCCTGCCCTGGCTCGCCCCCCCCTCTGCCCTCCCTCACTCAGAAGAACGTATAGGTACCCCGAGGTGAGTGGGGGCACATCCCAGTGGCTTGGAGTCCCAAGGAAGAGGGCAGGGCCAACAAGGATCGGAATTCTAAGGGAGCAGGGCCTCCTAGAGGGACACAGTTCTAAGGAGGTAGGGGTCTCCCAAAGGAATAGAATTCTAAGGGGGTGGGCCTCTCAGAGGACAGAATTCTAAGGGGACGGAGTTCCTAGGGGGTCGAAATTCTAAGGGGCTAGGGCCTAGGGGGAGTCAGAATTCTAAGGGGGCCAAGCCTCCCAGGAGTTCAGAATTCTTGGGGAATGACCTTGCAGGTGGGCAGAATTCTAAAAAAGCAAGGACTCCTAGGCGACAGAACTCTAAGGGGACAGGGCCTCCCAGAGAAGTAAAATTCTAGGGGGCAGGGAAGTCTAATGGGCAGAGCCAGCCAGAGGATGACTCTATGTTCCTTATAATAAAATCTTTTCAGGGTCCTGGGATTCCAAGGACTGTGTGTGTGTGGGGGTGCGGGGGGGGGGTGCGTGCGGGGGGGCGGTGAGTGTGGCAAAGCCTCCTGCAGAGTGGAATTCTAACTGGTGGGAGTTCTAGGGGATTGCTACTAAAAGGACCAGCTATAGAGCTAGGGGAGGGGAAAAGAGACTTTCTCAAGTAATTAAAAATTGGGCAGCGAAGCCTCCCAGGGGTATTTATTATTTAAGGGGACGGGGCCTAGCCAGGAAGGTCTCCCAGGGGACCAAATCCTAGGGGTTGACGCGCCTTAAGGAGCAGCAGGCCTCCTATTCCTTGAGTTCTAACCCTAAGGAGGCGGAGCTTCCCAAGGGCGCATTCCAAAAGGCGGGGCCTCACGAGTGATAGACTCCTAAGGGGGCGGGGCCTCCCAGGGAACTGGGCTCCGACTGGCCCGGAATTCGAAGGGGGCGGGGCCTCACCAGGGAGGCGGGCCAGAGGGGTGGGGCTCCGCCGGGAAGACGTCGGGGGCGGGGCCTTGTGGAGAGAGGGCTTCCCGGAGGCCGGGCCACCCCAAGGATGCAGCTTTCCGGGGGCGGGGCCTCGCCGAGGAGGGCCTCCCCGGGGGCGGGGCTCACCTGCGGCGCAGAGGCGGTGCATGCGCAGGTAGCTGATGGTGAGGCGCATGATGGAGGCCTTGTCCAGGTGGGCGCTGACCCCGCGCGCGAAGGGCAGCGTGTGCGCCAGCTGGTACAGCACCTCGGTCTCCTGGCTGCGCCGGCTGCGGGCCGCATCCCGGGACTTCTCCTTGCGCAGCTCGGTGCTCGACCTGCCGGCATGGGCGGCATTCACTGGTGGCGTCCCGGGAAGGGAAAGAGGCGGAGGGGACAAGCACGTGGGGTGCTGCCACATGGGGCCCGGGCTCACAGACAGCAGGGCCACGACTGTGAAGGCCTCGCTTTGTGGCCCGGACGAGTCCCCGAAGCTCTCTGGACCTGGGAGGGTTAGACTCTGGAGCCGCTCCTCGCCTCGGGTTTTATCTGTCCCCACGCCAGCCCACCAGCGCCTCACTCCTCTCTGAGGCGTGCCCAGAGCCGCTCTGTCCCCTCCCTGACTTATCTGTTGTTTATTCCCTGGGCTTGGGACGCCTGGGGGCCAGGGAGGCCTCCTGCTGGGGTTGGGGGGGGTGGGGGGCGGGGAGAGCTGGCCGACCTGGCCCAGAGCCAAGGAAGGGAGCACGAAGAAGACGCCTGCAGTCTCCCAGGCCCCCTGCCCTACAGCTCCCAGAACCCCCTCTCCCGCCCTTTCCCCTACCAGCTGAGCTGAGTCCTCAGAATCTTCCAGCACAGATTTCAAAGTCCAACGACCCACCAACAGGGGCCCTGCCAGGGTGACAGCAAACTGACCCTAGGGTTCTGTCTAGACGACAGGTAACCACTCACCCCTGCTCTTTAATCCACTTCAAATGCCCACATTCTGCACGTACGGGTGGGGGCAGGGTGAGCATCATTTTGTCACAAATACCTGCCACTTATCCAGCTTTTACTATTATGTCAATCCCTGTGCCAAATGTGTAACGTATATTAACCCATTTAGAGCTCAGACAACCCTAGAAAGAAGGTAATAACATTATCCCCATTGAACAGATGAGGAAACCGAGGCACAGAGAGGTGCAGCGTTCGCCCATCAGGTGTGAAGCCAGGCTTGGAATCCTGGTGTGCTTGAATTCCTCAATTTTCTCTGTTCTGGGGCCCTGGGTTTATCTCCAGGTTTTAACGTTTCTCTTTGTTTGTGCCACTGTCTTAAAAGTCAAACTCCAGGTCTTCTGAACCCAAACTCTACAGTTTTTTGGGAAAAAAAATTATAGAGGATCCTACATATATATAATTGTATCTATATTTATAATATTGGTAAAACCATTAATAAGCAGCTATGGTGTGCTAAGCATTCATGTGTCTGGCACCATAGTCAGTACTCTGCCTGTGTGTACGCAGTCAATCCTAGGAGACCCAAGGCACTTTAAACATCCATTTCACAAAGGGGAAACTGAGGCTCTGCCAGGTGAAATCTTTTGCCCCAAAAGTCACAAAGCCAGTAACCAGCAGAGCTGCGATTTGGACCCAGGCAGTGAGGGTCCTTCATTCCTTCCTTGTAACCCAGCCCAGGGAAGTAGAACTCTAGAAGGGGAGCCTTCCCTTCCTAAAAGCCAGAGAGGCCACTTCTAGGGGGTGGCATCAACCTCACCCCCAAGCAGAAGACCTGCAGCCCCACGATGGGGAGAGGAGAGGGGACTGTCGTGTCTGGCTACAGAGGGGGAAAAACTCCACAGGGCAACCGGGTGGGAGGGACAGAGGGGGCAGGCTGGGTGGAGTGGTGGAGGGAGCCAGCAATCGCCCCCATCCCTCCCTCCTGGCTGGTGGGGGCAAGGGCCTCCAGTCCTGCTCTGCCCAGAGGACATTCCGTCCTGGCCTGTCCCAGCCCTGTTTGTCTTCCTGCCCAGAGGGTGGGGGTGGGCGGGCCTCACGGAGCTGGGGGCCCGGACTGAGGGAACAGGAACAGGGGTGGGGCCAGCCCCCCACCTCCCAGGCAGCTGGGCTCTGTAATCCTCCGTGGCAGACTTCTCTCCCCATAGAAGGAGCCAGCTGGTGTCTGCAGCGGGACCCTCCTTCCAGCTCCCAGCCTGTTCTCTGGATGGTCTTCTGACAGGAAGCGTGGGCCTCTGGCTGGCCTCACGGACACCTGGATCTCTGGCCTTTCCTTTTAAACAGAGCAGGGGCTAGTCCCTCTGGCTCAGGGGTCCAGTCTCGACTCCATTTCTTATTCACTGTGTGACTCTAGACAAACTGCACAGCCTCCCTGTGCACCATCACAACACAACCTCATAGGGCCGTTTTGAAGATTAAATGAAATATGTGAGGGCCTTAGAACAGGGCGTGGCAATGGATGAGTGCTCTAAAAAGGGTAAACTTATTATTCCCCCTCTGTCCACGTCAAGGCTGGAAGACTTAGGAACCTTTCGGGCACTGGAGAAACCCATGGGCCCTGGTGGTAACCCCGGGGTGTGGCGTGTGTGTGCAATTCCATCCATGACTTTTACACAAGCATTTTGGGAAGAAGACTAAATAACAGTGATCGTGATAATAATGATGGCTTTGGTGTATTGGACACTCACGGAGCAGGAGACCCCACTGAATCCTTTGAACAACCCTATGAACCAGAAGTGGTCTCTCTTTGACAAAGGCTCTGAGCAATGGCATCTCCGGCCCCCAAGTCACCCAGCCGGGAACCCCAGGGCCCTCCACTGATTATGCTCAACGCGTCTCAGTTAGCCCCACCGTGTGTGTGTCCACTTCTGCCCAGATCTCCGTGTGACTTGAACACAGCTTATTGCACATCGACGGGCTGTCCTGCCCCAAAGATCTGTTCCCCCATGGCTCCTCAGCTTGATCTGGTGCAGGGGAGGGGAGGGATGACCCCCATTTTCCAGGCGATGAAACTCAGGCTCAGAGAGGCAGTCACTGGCACAAGGCCACACAGCCAGGAACTGGGAGAGCTTGGATTTGAACCCCGACTTTGGGGCCTGTGCTCTTAAATGTCATGCCTTGGCAGGTGTGTCCCCCCCCAAGGGGCCCCTGCCCTGCCCCTCCTTTGCCCAGTGGCCTCCGTCCCTTCCCCGTGTCCCACTTCTGCTGCCTCTGGTTTCCATAGCTGGCCAGTCTCTCCAGCTGGCCGCGTGCCCGGCCCTGGTCCAGCCCCCTGGCACTCTGCCCAGCCTGGGACGTGCGGCTGGAACCCTGCCACCCTTCCTCTGTGTTCCAGCAGAGAACAGGGGGTGGGGCCAGGGCCTGGAGGCCCCAGGGTGAGGCCTGGGAATGGGGCCTGGGGCCCCCCCAACCAGGAGAAGGAGAAGTCCACTTTTCCCGATCCTGAAGAACTTGTCACCCGTGAGCAAAGGCCCAGAGAAAGTAGGGAGACGCCGGCCCACATTCAGGGCTGCCCCTGGGTGTCTCTTCTCACACTCAGCTGGCTCTTGGATCTTGCAGAAAATGTAGAGGATTTGGGGGGGGCTCAGGCTGTATCTGGGCGGGGACCCCTCTCGGCACTGCCCAGGAGTGGCCTGAGAGGCCCAAGGCAGGGTTTGGATTTGATAAGGGACTTCGGGGTGGCAGTCAGGGGGTGTCTCTCTGCTCCCCCCCCCCCCGCGCCACTCATTCCCAGGGCATGGAATCCAGTGGGGTGCCCGTACCCGAAGTCCTATCTTCTCCGGGGAACCCTCCAACCTGGGGGGGCCTGGGGCAACAGGCCCATCAGGGACTTCCGAAGAACACCCCTGCCCGGGGGCAGCAGGAAGCCCCAGCTGGAAGGAAGGAAGGGGGTGAGGAGGTGGGGGGGGCCCACTCACCATCACCCAGGCCCCCGTTGGCCCAGGTGCCATCCTAGGGGTGCAGGAGGGGATAAAGCGGGGCCGGGATCCGGGTGCGAGTTACGAGTGGGTGGCGCACAGAGCTGGATGACACCACAGGAAAGGGCTGGCCTTCGCTGGGGAAGGGGGAGCACCCCAGCTCAGCCAAGAGGGGCCCCCACCCAGCCAGAAGGGGGCGCTGGGAGGGGCTGGGCCGGGGCTGGCCCAGAGATGGTGGGATGGAGTTCCCTGGCGGGCCCAGAGCCAGAGACTGGAACAGAATTGGGGGGAGAGGGGTGCGGCTTGGGTGGGTGAAAACATAGGGGGTGTAGACAGATCCAATCAGACCTGCGAAGCCAGGGAGGAGGGAAGGGGGTGAGGCTTCTTGGACGCCTCAGATTGGACAGGGGGAAACCAAGGGCCAGGGACATTTTCCGGGGTCCCGTGAAAACATGGCCAGATAGGATGTCCTGCCCGTGGGCCCCGAGCACAGGTCCCCAGTCACCTCAGCACATCTGCACCTGCTGGGCAGTGAGCACAGAGACCCACCCTCCGCCCAGGATGACCCCAGCAGGGCACTGTGGTGGGCGGGGGGCGCTCTCATCCCCGCCTGCACAGCATCAGACACAGCACCCTCCATGGGGTCTTCCCCAAATAAGGCTGGGGTGGGGCCCCCTCCCACCATCACAGGGACTGGGGGGAGGAGGGGGGTGGGGGAATGAGATAACTGGGCCAGACTTTGGGAAGTAGGTCAAGCTGTTTCCCTGTTATTAGAGGGGGTGACCTTATCTTCCAAAAGGCTACCAAAAGGCCTTGGGAAGGGTCCCAGTAGCTTCTGAAAGGGGACACCCTCTGCCTATCTCTAGGGAACTCAAGGTTTGGGCGACTGTGTCAGAGAGGGTCCAATTAAAGGAGATCTCTCTGGAACTCAGGAACTGACTCCCCATTCCAAGGGACTCTCTAGAGCTGAGAAGGCTCAATTTGGGGGGACCTCATACCCCCTAGGATCCCAGGGATCTGGTAGCAAAGAACAACCTCAAGTCTGGGGGTTTGGAGCCCAGAAGGGTCAATATGTGGAGGGAGAACGCCTCCCAGAGAAGCCCAGAACTACTCAAACGCAACCACCCCCAATTCCGTGGGGACCCCGAGTTTCACACCCAGCCAGGAGGGGAAGCGAACTCGGAGCAGCAGGAACTCGGGCGTCACGACCCCGAAGTCGCTCCTGCCTAGAGGGGCGGGGCAGCCGGGGACCTGGGGACTCCCCCACCCCTGCGATCCCCTAGGGCAGACGGTGCGGCGGGGCTGTGCCTCCACCCACGCGTCCCGGGGCGGCCGTGGCTTGTACCCGGGTGTGCGTCCCCCGCCCGGCTCAGGGGTCCCTGGAAGGAGGGCCGCCCCCCGATGCCCATCATGCCTGCCCCAGAACCCAGTACCTTGCGCGCTGCAGCCCCAGCGCCATGGCTCGCCCGTCGCGGCTCCGGAGCCCTTCGAGGCCCCCAGCCCCCCGCACGGGCCCTGCGAGCCCCCTCCCCAGCTCCTCCCCCGCCGCGCCATTGGCTGCACCGCGCCCGGCCCGCCGCTCTGGTTGGACGACCCGCCGGTCACTTCCGAGAAAGGGGCGGGACCAGAGACGGAGACTCGGCTAGCGGGGAGGCGTTGGGGGGGGATGCCTTGAAATACACACACACACCCCCGGCCGCACCCCTTGCCGCGGACTTGACCTAGA